ACATTTTCCACTTTTGTATATTTGAACTGGTAAACTGTAGTTATGGAACACCCTAATCCTACCGTCCCAAGTTGTTGCCACGATCACAAGCCCCCACAGGTGCGGCGTACAAGGGTTGACGTTCTCATACACGTTCTTCAAGAGCCTCAGCTTAGACCTGATGCTGGCTTTAGCTGAAATCGCTGCTGCACCTGCACTTGTACTACGCCAAGCTTCTCTTCTTGCCATGTTGTTGCTCCTTTCATTGGAGAGAGACAGTCCATCCGCAACAGGAAATGAGCAAATTTTTTTTGCAGATCAGCAATGAAACTATCCCCCTCTTTCTCCTTGCCTAGTCAAGGTATGGCAACAGACATAAGACCTGATCGTTTATGGTTTCTGAGAAGAAACAGCCTTCTTATTTGGTTGAGAGTAGTCCCATACATGAATCATTGAGCCCTCTACTGCTGATACAATGTGTTTCCAACAAAGCATAGGATAGTCTCAGTGTTGTCCTAAGACTGGAAGCTGCAAAACATCCACCAAAAAATAAGAAAAAGATTATATCAAAACAAACCCATAGAAAAATTCACCTCAGCACTGAAATTCCACTGTCTTTAGAACTTCATACAAAACCGAAGCAATTATGCGTGCAAACCCTCAAACGTGATACACAAGAACTTGTACCTTGGTAAACTAAAAAAAACAACAAAGACAAATGATCCAATATCCCAAAAGTTAGATCAACCAATAAAGAAACAAACAAAGTTCTTTTATCAAACGCAGTTTTGTCTAATAATACATGACCTATATCTGCTTGTGTCATAAAGAGAATGAGCCTAAATTTTATAAAGAAACAAACAAAAAAAGTTCCATTTTAGTAAAACTAAGGACTGTGAATCTCTAAGGCAGATATCATGTGACATCAAATCAAATGTACACCGATCCTCCTCATGTATTCTGTTAGGATCTAGAACATAAGTAAATGTAACAATGGAAGAAACTAACGACAGAACCATGTGTTAAAAAAAAAAGGAGGGAGGCGCACGTTATACAAAAGTTGTTATGAAATGTCTCAAGAATCTAGTAAATAAAAAACAGAGACAGCAGAACAGAATACACAAAGATTGTGCCATTAAACGTAGTGATGGGAATTCTGAATACTGGAGATTTCGAGCTTCGCAAAACAAACAATTATAATCCATCCAACCCATAAATTGTGTGCGCTTCTCAAGGTGTAAACCTTGACATGTCAAAATTGTAATAATCTTTTAGAAGAACATCAAACTATACATGTAAGTGAATAATAACGAAATAAAATGCAAGTAATCACGAAGAAAATAAATTCGTGGAGCCAACTTACTTTTAAGGAACAATAACGTTGTAACAAAAAAAAGGAATATGGACTTACGCTTACCCTTCAGGTTCACGATCAGGTTGAGCCAGCTGGAAGCTCAAAACGGGAACATCTGAACTAAAGAGAGAGAAAATTCAGATAAATTACTTGAAGCTTTGTAATTCAAACGATGCATCATTCAACTCGACTTTGCAATATTAGCGATGCGTCTTAAAATCATAACCATGAAGTATATAATTAGAATATTTTTATACAAAACGATGCATCTCTAAAAATATAAGTGATGCATCATAAGTTGTCTAATTGTATAAAAAGTAAACCGAACGAATATAACAACAGAACAAATATATAAGTTTACCTCTTGACATGTTGTCCATTGTATAAACCACCAACAAAGATAACCTAATCAAATCAGCATGGTGGAAGGTATATATCAATATAAGATTACAAACTCGAATTAAAAGAAACAAATTCAAACACAAAACAGTGAAAAGAACATAACAGAACTAAATATGTCCTCTTGTTTTAAGGAAAAAAAAAATAAAGAAGCTTATGTCAATTTATATTTACGAACAATAACTGATTACTCCATAACATATACGAACACAATATATAAAAAGATGTTTATGAACAATAAAGAAGAGGAACACAATACGAGCATGTATAGAGTATGATAAATGCTTTAGGGTTTAGAGTTTTTATGTTGGTGACTCATTTAACAAATTCAGTGGCTATGATCAATATTAAAACCGCTGGTCCATTAACAAATTCAATGGCACATGATAAATGAAAAAAACCATGTCACACATATTGACACGTAGAATTAATGATCGTCCTATCAAAATTAATTAAAACGACACATATATAGATTTTAATAATGACACATAAGCAAATTGCTCTGGAAACGATACGTAGGATTTTTGACTTCGCAAATAATAGTATAGATAAGCAAATCACTCTGGAGACGACACATATGATTTTTGACTTCGCAAATAATAGTATAGATGTTTCAAAACATGGGCTGCATAATATTAGTTGACTTTATAATTATAACTAAAACCAAGAGTCTAACATTTGGAAAACAAAGACAAAGATTGAAAAAGATTCAAAAATTCGCAGATGATTAAAAAGGGTGAATTCATCATTCAAATCGGAAAACCCCAATAGCCTATCAACAACAAAAGATTTAATTAAAAATAAATAAAAAAACATTTTGTTCCCTTTCTTTCTAAGTTTTATCTAAAACAAGTTACACAAAAAAAAAAACCAAGAATATGAAGAAAGAGAAGAATACATTTCTTCCAGATCTGATTGGATTTGGATTATTTCTTTTTCACCAGCGAGGCTCCGATTCAGTTGATGAAGTCGGGATCCAATGACTACTCACAAACCAACAAGGAAAAGTTCGAGTGGTCGTGTCAGCCAATCGATTCCCGACCTGCATCAAGCGAATACGAGCCCGACAGTGAATCTATCATAATCTCTCTCCAAAAGAAAACAGAGACAGAGAGAGATAGAGGGAGAAAGAGGGAAGAGAGAAGCAAAAGTTTTAGATTTGTAATGGCGAAATGAGTGTTTCTGATTGTTTTCTTAAGAACCCTATCAGGCAGAAACAACCTTAGGCTCTATCTAATACAGATAACATACCATTCATGTATTGACACGTGTTCTAAACTTATGAAGTCTTCCCTTTCACACGATGGGGACTATGGTAGAGTCATTAAGAAATGAACTTTCCCAACCTACTCAAATTTTTTTCTTTTTTAACCTATTCAGATTTTTTTCCTTTTTAACCTACTCAGATTTTTTTCCTTTTTAACATCAAGAAGACCGAACCCTCCGCTCAGCTCTGGGGTTTCCAGAAGTATATATAGTTGATAGTTTGTGTGATAGATCTTGTTTTGTATGAACTGGGTACCGTACTTGGCTAGAAGTCCAATAAATGTATATGATCCAAAGGCGGATACATGGAGACCGTCATGAGTTTAGAAGGTTTTCCGGATAATATCAGTAGCTTGGGATGGTTTCTTTCATGTATGTATGTTTGTGCATACGGTTATGCATAAAGTCTTCAACTTGGAATCGAGCTTTGTGGAACTGTTACCGTTGATGATACTTGGGATGGTTTCTGTGATTGATTACGGGCTTTTTGAATGATGGATTCTCATCTTTAGACACCCTCTTAAGGCCTGAAAGAAACCATCCCAAGTATCATCAAACAGTAACAGTTCCACAAAGCTCGATCTAAGTCTAAGTCTAGACATTCATGAACTTGCAGGTGAAGGATAATTACTACATCTACATTTTGAGCATGCAGCTTGTTGGTCTTATAGCTAAGAAGCTGTTATCTAACGCCTTAAGAGTAACTAGCCCTTCTCAACCTTTTTTCTCACAATGTGTTGTAGCAGTTTATAAATATATCAGCCTTGAGTAGATTTCTTAATCTGGGAAAAGGTTATGAAATTCTTTTAGCTGTACAATATTCTTACGAAACTCTTGTTGAAAAGGCATCTCTTGTTAGCTATGTTTTGGGTAGTTTGCAGTTGCACTACTGATATATATGGTCTCACTATAACAAGTTTAATCCGTTTGCTTTTAGGTTTATGTTCAATTAAAAATGCGAGAACCTATTAATGTTATTTTTATGATACACGATGAAGGGAATAAGGGAAGATATTCACGAACAAGTTTGCATACTATCTTCACTTCGGTATGTATTGGCCAGTGCCAAAAACATGGTCAAAGCTTTTGGAGTGATCACATTCTTACACAAATACCCATTGTGATTCCACGATAGGACAAATGTAATCTTGGTTCAGAGATGTGAAGATGATGTTGGAGCAAAACAAATTGGCCTATTCTAACCCGTTGTTATGATTCTTATGGATAGCCATTACAAATTAGCTATTCAATACCTGGTTAATATCGAAATCCTTTATAATTTTATTGGAAGCTATCTCGAACTGTTTTATAAACTCGGCGAACGGGCAAGACATGGCCAACGCTTTTGGATTATATATATATATATACATTTTACTATATATATACACTTTACGCTACATGTGATCACATTCTGACTTAACAAGAATATAGGTTTAATTGTTTAACAAAAGATATAGTTTTAATATTTTCTTGGAAGCCATCTCAAACTCATCATTTATAAACTTGGCGAATAGGCAAGACGCTTCAGAAGTACAGAGTCTTGCCTCCAGGAGCCTCTTCCACAGTCAAGAATGGAGAACCACGATTATTTCTGTGATACTATTCCAAGTGGATGCAATCATCAATCTCAATGCCTTCCATCATCAAAACAGCATCTATCATAGAACTCTTCTCCTTGAACTTAACAAAACCATGTCAATTCGAACTTAACAAAAAACGTTGACCAAAAAAAGGAAAAAAGAACCTTAATCTAACGGTCAGATGACTCTTTTTCAATCCAACTCTATCTTAGGAGTGAATATATGTGAACTAGCAAGTGTTTTGGCCTCTTTTATGACCATTGTAATCTCCAAGTGGGTTGAGTTTGAAGTCTTGCAATTTTTGGCGTTATTGTGTCCTGAGTCAACTCCTAACTTTCTCCGACACTTCTTTGTTAAGAAATTCAACAGGGAAATACTCTGTATTTTCGATGAAAGTGTTAGGTGTTTTCCTAATAGTTTCCCTTTTCGTTTTGCAATCTTATATATAGAATGAGTTTCTGTTTTTCATTCATCACTTTATTCATTTCGATTTTTCTAATTCTGTGTGATAATGGGTCAACTGTTTGAACAAGTGAGTCACAAGGATAACGAAGATACCAAATCCCTTGGCCATGAAGATGCAGGACTCGAGGTATTTTTTCTTTCTCACTACATCTTTTCAGCTCTCTTAATTATTTGATCAAATCTCTACAAATCGGAAACTTGTAAGGTTTCTATTTTTTCTGAATTTTCAATGTGTGTTTTGGATGTAGTGGGTTGATAAAGAAGGAAGAACGCCATTTATCTTAGCTTGTACGAAATTAAAGCTATTTGATGGTGAAAAAACTCTGCTTCAGTTGGGTTCCGATGTCAATGCTTTTCGTTTTGGTAATTAATCAAGAATCTTCTTTCTTCCCCATTTTTTCCATCTTTCTTGTTTTTTCAGAGTTTGTGCTTTAGTCCTAAAATGAAATTTTGTTATCTTTTCTCTCATCAAAGTGTGTTTTTGTGCTAATTCTTCGTTGGGGTGAATGAAATGGAGAAACTCATTAAGATAGAATCTGGACATTTTATGTTGTTTGTTGGTATGATAGATTGCAATGGTGAGACTCCTCTGCACCATGCTGCAAATATAGGTCTTGAAAACACGGTTAAGTTACTTCTATCCCACGGTGGTAAGTTTTCTGATCTCTATCTTGCCAATTTGATGACTGAAAAGTTTTAGTAATCTATTTATAGTGTTCAATTTACATTTGGCATGTCTGTTTTGTTTTTTTTTCTTGCAGCAAATCCACTGGTTTTGAATGATGATTTTCAGACACCTCTTGAAGTTGCTAGAGCTCAAGGTTACAGTAATATTGTACGCACAATTGAGGTATATGCTTGTAACATTTATTTCGTATTTTCATGAAATAATGGCTAGTAAACTACCTGAAACGTCATGAGCTATAACTATTTTAAACTGTTTTGATTCTGTAGAGTCACATATGTTTGTTCTCTGGTTGGATGCGTGAATTTTATGGCCCTAGCTATGTTGAATTGTTTGCTCCCCAGCTTCTTTCAAGAAGAGTGTGAGTATCTTTTGTTTTATTTACCACTTTCTTTCTTATATTTTTTTGTTGTACATGAATATGAATCTGCCATAGAACTTGTTGTTTTGCAGATGGGTAGTTATCGTACCAACTGGTTCACAAAATCCTACAAAGCCTTTCAAGTTGGAGTTGGTTGTGTATGCTAGTCTTCAGGTACTAAAAACTAATCATTTCTATTATGCTGAGATATGTGTCAACTTTTGAGATTCTATACTTATGAAACTTTTATGATGATGATGATGATATATATATAGGATGCACAACCAAGGACGGTGATCCCTTTGTGGAAAGCCAAGTTGGAGGAACCAAAATCAGATCAGTCTGATGCTTCAGTGATGATTGGTAATAACTCCACAAGTAATTTTCTTGACATTTTCCCACGTTCATGGAATCTTTATCTTTCCTTGTTGATTAAAACTTTCTTATCATTTATAGGTCCAACGCGCAAGAGGCAAAGAAGAAGGGGATACATCTCTCATGCAAGGCGTTGGGCTCAAGTAGATTGGCGTAAGTGTTGAAGGGTTTGTACTGTCTAACCATGAAAATTGTTACAAGAAGAAGGCATAAAAGCTATTCTGGTTTAATTGAATCTGTTCTATGAAGTAGAAACATAAGTTTTTTATTTGGTTTTAATCTCAACTATTTTAGAAATGCGGCTTAAGCTGGCACCTGCGAAGAGAGGCGACATCCAACAGCTAAATTGGTTTTGCGAGGCGTGTAAAGGAATTCCACAGGTATATATGGCCACAAAATAAAACTTTGGAGTTAAGATATTTGCTATCTGTGTGCCTCATTTAAAACTTTTGATACTAACTATAAATTTTATACAGCCATTGAATCCTCCAATATGTGAAAACAACGTTTCCAATGAGGTTGCGCCATCAGTTTATCCTTTGAGAGCTGTAGCGGCAGTAGAAGACGGTTCCATACACTATCCATCGGTCGATGTCGACCTCTCACTCCCTTGTGAAAAATGTGAGGATAAAGAAGATGGTGGAGGATCTAGAGTGTGTGTAATATGTGTGGATTCATCATCTGAAGCAGTGTGTGTGCCGTGTGGACATGTTGCTGGATGCGTTTCTTGTTTGAAAGAGATCAAAGACAAGAAATTGGGATGTCCTGTCTGTCGCGCTGATATTGATCAGGTTGTTAAGCTATACCATGTTTGAAACACGAAAGGACAGAGGGATCATGGGTAGTTTGTCTATGTTTATCATCTATTTCTCTGTTACAACTTACAAGTTATTAGAGTCCATTTTTTTATCTCTTATGGATTTGAACTCATTCCGTTACTCCAAAAAATTTTCTATTGTACTAGTGTTTTATGCTTTATTTGAAGTTTCAAACATTTTTTGTTCAGCTAATTTAACAAAGCTAATAAATACAATATTTACACAACACATACTATAATATTGATGAAACGTTGGTATTCATTTCCTTGCAAATTAAAAAAAAAAAACACGAGATTTGTTACTTTTTTCACATGTTTCTAACTCAAATATGGAACTACCCCTTGATCTTTGCTTGATTTATCAAAAAATGAGATTTGCCGTAAAAAGGAAAAACGCAAATTTGTATATCTATGTATACCGCTACTCTAATTATCTTTTCTTATGTTTTATCTAATATATAAAATATGAAAGGCATTCTTCAATTTTCGACATATCATCAATTAATAGTACATAAAAACTGAATATATTCAGATATAAATACATATAAAATTATTAAATTTGATTTTAACTATATTAAAATTATTTAATCATAAGCATAAAATAACCAAAATTCAAATTTAATTTAAATATATAAACATTATCATACTAACAAAAATCTTAGATAAAGAATTTATGCCAAATATTCATTTTTAATTTGTTTTGAGTTGGAAGCCCAAAAAAATTAACACACGGTAATTGCATAAAAACAGTTAGAGAAAATAGATCAGCAAAGATAATATACTCCCCAAAAATTGAACCAGTACTTTGAGGTTAGGTCACCAACATCTAAATCTTCTATTGTCAGAGCCTCACAAGTCCATCAGCATAAATTTTTTGACCAAATCGCTCATATCCAATCAGCGTTAGTGAGTGTACACATTGTAATTTAGTTTCAAGTAGAAAGTCTGTGAAGCAACAAAAGATACAAGAAGATAATACACACTACTCTGTAAACGAAATGCATCGTAAAACAACAACCAAGTTTTATATATTAAAGACATGATCAAACAGCCAACTAATTTTGTAAGTCACATTTAAACTTTTTTGTTTTGTGACGTTTGTTTTCTACTAACATCATTAGTTGCATTTATTCCGCAATAAAAGTACTTATTGGATTAATGCTGTTTCTTACTTTCTTTAGTTTTTTTTTTAAAGAATCTTACTTACTTTCTTTAGTACACACCAATTGTTCTCTTAAACAATTCACAACCGTAATTCAACAATCAACATTATACTGTATATCAAAAATGAAAAAAATCTTCATTTCACACTACTGCAATAACATCTCTCTTCATCTCTTTTCACAACAAACTTAATCATTTTCATATATATAGTTAAGGAAAACTGGCTTTTTCATACATGAAGTATGCACATATGTTTTTTTATATATCTGAATTATACCGTTGTGCTAAATCATTTATTAACTAAATAAAAATTTAAATTACATACTTAATCTTTTATTTTGTGCTAAAACATACATTTGACTAAATTTGACTGAACAGTGTTAAGAACACGTTGAACTGTGTTTACGTGGTTTCCACGCCTGAAACCAAATCATTTTGTCTAAAAAATCTGATACAATTTAAAAGCTGAATTACATTGATATCAAAGATTCTAGAATCGATTCTAAAAACCTAATCCCTAGATTTTAAAATCCCCAATTCATTGTCAAGAGGTTGAAGAAAGAGGAAGACAAAAAAATACATCAAATCGTTTTGTATTAAATTATATTAGATTGTATCAGATTTTTGTAGACGACTTGGTTTCAGACTTGAAAGCCACATAGATACGGTTTAACTTCTTGTTAACACCGTTAAAATAAATGTACGTTTAGCACAAAATAAAAGATTAACTATGTAATAAAAATTTTATTAAGTTAATGTATAATTTATCACGATAGTATAATTTAGGTCTAAAAAAACATATATGCATACTTCATGTATGAAAAAGCCAATTTTCACACAGTTACATACTTATATATAGTGGATTATTAAATCGTATTTACTCAATTTTTAACACACAATTACATATCTGTGTGTGTATATAAACTTTTTATTCAGAAAAAATAAAATAAATATACTTATTATTCAGATGTTAAGGAACCATAAGAAGTTAAACTGGCACAAAACCGGTAAAAAGATTTGCCTCACTAAAAAAACAAAAACCATAGAAAAACCTACCATAATCTAGGTAAATGCAATTTGACTATTACCCTTTATTTTTTATATGATAAGTGGCTGCTACCTTTTACTAATCAAAACAGGTCTAGGTAAATGCAATTTGACTATTACCCTTTATTTTTTATATGATAAGTGGCTGCTACCTTTTACTAATCAAAACAGGTCATTTTGATTATATTGTTAAAGTAAAATCAATCATAAACCCTAAAGGTTCTCAAGAATAGAGCTCCTCATCGTCATATATCTACCCTTATAAATAAAATCTTAAAGGGTACTGTTCAGAAGTAACTGTTAGAACAGATAGATAAGAGAATTAATCACATTTAAACCCTAGATCTTGAATTCAAATATGCTGGCATCTATCAAATTCTTAAATATTTCAAAACCTGGGCTGAATAATATCAATTGACTTAGTCAACATTTGGAAAACAAACACAAAGATTCAAAAATTCACAGATTATTAAAAAGGGTGAAATCATCATCTGAAGAAACCCAATAGCCTATCAGCAACCAAAGATTTATTTCAAAAAAAAACAAAAAAAATTTGTTCTCTTTTTTTCTAGGTTTTACCTAAAAAGTTACACATAAAAACAATGAATATGATGAAGGAGAATAATATATTTCTTTCAGATCTGATTGGATTTGGATGTTTTATTTTTCACCAGCAAGGCCCCGATTCAGTTGATGCAGTCGGGATCCAATTACTGCTCACAAACCAACAAGGAAAAGGTCAAGTGGTCGTGTCAGCCAATTGCTTCCCGACCTGCACCAAGCGAATCCGAGCCCAACGGTGACTCTGTCATAATCTCTCTCCAAAACAAAACAGAGACAGAGAGAGATAGAGGGAGAAAGAGGGAAGCGAGAAGCAAAAGTTTTAGATTTGTAATGGCGAAATGAGTGCTTCTGATTGTTTTTCAGAGACAACCTTAGGCTCTATTTAATACAGATAACGTACCATTCATGTATTGACATGTGTTCTAAATTTCTGTGGTCTTTGCTTTTACACAATGGGGACTACGGTAGAATCTTGAAGAAATGAACTTTTCCAACCTACTCAGATTTTTTTCCTTTTTTAGAAAAATAAGGGAATAATATTTGTCATGACAGCTGTTGTCAGAGAAATCTCTGCTGAATATTCTATTGTCAGAGCTCTATATTCTATTGTCAGAGCTCTCCAACAGCTTAAACATATTGCTTTCAAGCTATCCGCTTCCTCACTGTCTTCAAGTGCAAGAACATCAAGAAGACCGAACCCTCCGCTCAGCTCTGGGTTTTCCAGAAGTATGGTTGATAGTTTGAAGAACAAATCATGAACATATTAGATGTTTGTGTTACAGCTAAATAGTTACATTAATTAAGGTTCTGCCTATGACCTATGTCATGATATTTTTACCACCCTTCTTAGTTGTGGTTTATATATCTGTATATGAAAGAAATGTTCACCAGGATGGATAAGTGACTAAGCAGTCATAAACAATATATTAGAGTACGATCACAAAAATCTTATTTCAAAAGAAATTAAAAGGAGACACAATACTAAGTAAACAAAACAACCAGGATTAAGAATTTGACTAATTTCGTTCAAAGAAACTAGTTAATTGACTAGTAACCTTTTTTATCTGACTCCAGTTTCGAAATTTGAACTAATCTCGTGCAAAGAAACGAGGTATCTTGAATGGACTAACCACCTTTTCCATTTTCCTCCATTTGCTGAATTTCAACCAAACTTGGAACATAGCTGACGAGAAGTGGACAATTATCATATGGTCCTTGTGCCATCCATCCTTGAGCTTGTTTACATACATGTATCTTATGGTCTCCTCCAACGATGTAAAACATGGTCTCTTTATTTTTCCTGTCTCTACGACAATACACGACCTATTTATTATCCTCGTCCACCGAGAAACTCTCCACGGCGGTCATACTTGTTCTCATAATATCACCGAAATACACAACTGAGAAGGATTGGATATTAGTATCTTTGGCCTCATCGATCTTAGTATCAGTCACCCATATCTTCATTTTTATATCTCTATAAGGACTCTGAAGTAACACATAAAGTTGCTCATCTTTAACAACTGAGAGAACCAACCTCACATGGAAATCATTACATTGAAACAGAAGAGAAAAACGTTCAAATCTCTCTCTTTTGAAATTAAACCTGAGTAAAAATCTATTAGTGAAGGGGTTTTTATTTTCCCAAGCAGCCCAATAAGTATTTGATAAAAAAAAGACAAAACTCGCAACTGCGATGCCCAAAAGTTATTCGCGATTGCGAAATAACAACTCACAAATGTAAGAAGTCGAATCAAAAGAAAATACTTTTGCGAGGGCAGAAAACATCACCATCACCTTTAAATATGAACGAATCGAAATCAAAAGGTCCATGCTCATAAAACATATGGGATCATGAAATCATAAAGAGAAACAACATCTTTAAAACGTGTTCTCCAAAAAACTAGCAATAGTGCTAGCCAATAAAAAAAATCACTGGCCAAAATAATAAAATAAGCCACAAACAGACTCCATCTTTGGTGTCTTCAGCACCGCCACATACGTCTTCATGATCCGCATAGAAGGTTAATCATATAAGATCATAACTTCTTCGTTGATCCACCAATGGTTTAATAATTTTTTTTTTAATTTAAAGAAGTTAAAAAGGAAAAACAAAACCACAACCCATAGGAATTGGATCTAGGCTCTGATACCATGATAAATTGATGAGAGTAAGAACACAAAAGTGTTTACAAAGTGCATTCTCTTATATAGAGATAAACTAGATTTAAAGACTCCTAATTTAACATAAACATAAATGTAAATAATATATTTCGAGATAAAGGTAAATTTCCTAAACTAAGATCTTCCATAGATCCTCTTAATCTTTAGGCTTTCCATGATATCGGTATGGTCGATCTCAGGGATCTCCCAATAGTATTTCCCTTCAAAGACACTCCGCCACTTCTTATTGTAGTCCAGTTCTGTTCATTAACATCATCGAGAACCCTCCATGAATCAGAGTTAAGTTCATAAATTTCAAACTCATGTACCAGATCGTTCAGGTCATTGTAATAATAGCCAAATCTCAAGATTTTGTAGCTGTCGCAAGATTTGTTGTTGCTCTGGTATCCAAGAACATAGTTATAGTAAGTTTTGTTACTATTCCAACTTGTCTGAATCCACCTAGTTTGACCAGTACAAGGGTTCCAAACAACGAGTCTATTCTCTTCGGTGGTGCACAATAATAAACCATATTGCAATGAAAGATACTAGATATCGTGACTTCTTCTGAGTCTTTTAAACTGTTAAGTTTACCTGTAAACTCAACAAATGGATCAAAACTGTTGTCGATTCCATAGAGGTAAATCCATTTGGAGAAAAGGTGACAGATTTATGTTTTTCGTTTTCTTTTTACATTTTCATGTCACTATTGCAACTCAAAATGTTTTACTAATCAGTGTTCTTATTTTGGAACTAGTGGTAGTGTAGTACTAAAGGTGTACATAGACAATTTGCAACCACCATTAAACAAATAAAACTATGAGATATATAAGCAATTTTCACTTGTTTCTATCACTACAAAAAAATTCAAAATTATTAATGTAGATTTTCTTCATTTCTTTGAAAAAGTATTATTTGAAACTCTTCTTATAAAGTCAGTATAGTTAACTGATTTTCTTTTTAGAACATATCATAGGGAAGACCAAGAGGGGTAGCTTTTGGTATCACAATATATCTATAGTGGATTCCGTAATAAGAATACGGATGCTTCTTCAAGTTCATCTGAAGAAAGAAATGTCGAGCCAATGGTTTCTAGTGGGAGTAGTCGAGGCCTCGTGGGTCACGTGAAACAATATTTTCTCGATATAGTCAGATGAAATCACATAAAAAAAAAAAAAGATGACAGTGTAGCCAGTGAGGTGGCTATATATCTGATGGAAAGTGTTGAGATACCAAAAGCTACTCCTCTTGGTCTTCCCTATGATATATTGTATTGGTCTAAAACTAATAGCGTTAAATACCCAATCTTAGCAGAAGTAGCAAGGGATGTGCTTGCTATACCTGTCTCTAATGTTTCATCGGAATCTGTTTTTAGCACCATTAACTCCTTTTATGGTTGAAGCGTTGATTTTAACGCAAAATTGGCTTAAAACAACACTTCATTCAGAGAGAAGAGTTGATGATATTCACAGATTGCTTAAAGAAACGGAGTATATAGAATCTTTACAAGAAGGTACGTATTCATTATTCTTTTATGGTCTTAAAATATATTAAAATATATTTAGATCGTATGTAATTATATATATATATATAATTCTCAATGTTTATTTATTGTTAAGTATGTTGATCAGAGATTGTGCTTATGACTTATGAGGAGACGAACAATAGTGTCTGAGGAAGTTAATAAAAATCTGAATTTTCTTTTATTTATCTTTTAAGTTTTTGTAATCTTGATTTTATTGATAATTTGGATTTATATTTGAATTCTTAGTTTTTTTTCTTACATTTATTAGTTTAATATATTATTACTATCTATTTTATTTTTGTTTCTTGTATGAACTATAAATTATATCGTTATGAAATAAATTATAAACCGTAACTGAACCAAACCAAACCAAACTAAATTGAAAATAGTTTTCATATGGTTTCATTTTTTTATAAAACAATAAATCAAAACCCATAAAAATTGAATCATACCAAATCGAAATATATATAATTTTTATATGGTTTAATTTTTTTTTAAACTGAAAAAGCCAAACGAAAACCAAACCATAAATCGAAGTGCCTACCCTACCCCTAGACTCCAAGTGGCTTGACTTTGAAGTCTTGCAATTTTTGGCGTTATTGTGTCCCGAGTCAACTCCTCACTTTCTTGGACACTTCTTTGTTAAGAAATTCAACAGGTAAATACTCTGTATTTTCGATGAAAGTGTTAGGTGTTTTCGTAATAGTTTCCCCTTTTGTTTTACAATATTATATATAGAATTGCTTTTCCATTTTTCATTCATCACTTTATTTCATTTTTATTTTCCTAATTCTGTGTGATAATGGGGCAACTGTTTGAACAAGTGAGTCACAAGGATAACGAAGATACCAAATCCCATTGCCATGAAGATGCAGGACTCGAGGTATTTCTTCCTTCTCACTCCATCTTTTCAGCTCTTATTCATTTGATCAAATCCCTACAAATCGGATACTTGTGAGGTTTCTATTTTTTCTGAATTTTCAATGCATGTTTTGGATGTAGTGTGTTGATAAAGAAGGAAGAACGCCATTAATCTCAGCTTGCACGAAATCAGAGCTATTTGACGGTGAAAAAACTCTGCTTCAGTTGGGTTCCGATGTCAATGCTTTTCTTTCTGGTAATTAATCAAGAATCTTTTTCTTCCCCATTTTTGTTCATCTTTCTTGTTTTTTCAGAGTTTGTGCTTTATCTCTTTCTTGCCAATTTGACGACTGAAACGTTTTAGTAATCTATTTCGTGTTCAATTTACATTTGTAATGTCTGTATTTTTTTCCATGCAGCATATCCAATGATTCGGAATGATGATTCTCAGACACCTCTTAAGGTTGCTAGAGCTAAAGGTTACAGTAATATTGTACGCACGATTGAGGTATATGCTTTTAACATTTATTTCGTATTTTCGGCGATGGGCTAGTAAACTACCTGAAACGTCATGAGCTATAACTATTTTAAACTGTTTTGATTCTGTAGAGTCACATATGTTTGTTCTCTGGTTGGATGCGTGAATTTTATGGCCCTAGCTATGTTGAATTGTTTGCTCCCCAGCTTCTTTCAAGAAGAGTGTGAGTATCTTTTGTTTTCTTTACCACTTTCTTTCTTATATTTTTTTGTTGTACATGAATATGAATCTGCCATAGAACTTGTTGTTTTGCAGATGGGTAGTTATCGTACCAACTGGTTCACAAAATCCTACAAAGCCTTTCAAGTTGGAGTTGGTTGTGTATGCTAGTCTTCAGGTACTAAAAACTAATCATTTCTATTATGCTGAGATATGTGTCAACTTTTGAGATTCTATACTTATGAAACTTTTATGATGATGATGATGATATATATATAGGATGCACAACCAAGGACGGTGATCCCTTTGTGGAAAGCCAAGTTGGAGGAACCAAAATCAGATCAGTCTGATGCTTCAGTGATGATTGGTAATAACTCCACAAGTAATTTTCTTGACATTTTCCCACGTTCATGGAATCTTTATCTTTCCTTGTTGATTAAAACTTTCTTATCATTTATAGGTCCAACGCGCAAGAGGCAAAGAAGAAGGGGATACATCTCTCATGCAAGGCGTTGGGCTCAAGTAGATTGGCGTAAGTGTTGAAGGGTTTGTACTGTCTAACCATGAAAATTGTTACAAGAAGAAGGCATAAAAGCTATTCTGGTTTAATTGAATCTGTTCTATGAAGTAGAAACATAAGTTTTTTATTTGGTTTTAATCTCAACTATTTTAGAAATGCGGCTTAAGCTGGCACCTGCGAAGAGAGGCGACATCCAACAGCTAAATTGGTTTTGCGAGGCGTGTAAAGGAATTCCACAGGTATATATGGCCACAGAATAAAACTTTGGAGTTAAGATATTTGCTATCTGTGTGCCTCATTTAAAACTTTTGATACTAACTATAAATTTTATACAGCCATTGAATCCTCCAATATGTGAAAACAACGTTTCCAATGAGGTTGCGCCATCAGTTTATCCTTTGAGAGCTGTAGCGGCAGTAGAAGACGGTTCCATACACTATCCATCGGTCGATGTCGACCTCTCACTCCCTTGTGAAAAATGTGAGGATAAAGAAGATGGTGGAGGATCTAGAGTGTGTGTAATATGTGTGGATTCATCATCTGAAGCAGTGTGTGTGCCGTGTGGACACGTTGCTGGATGCGTTTCTTGTTTGAAAGAGATCAAAGACAAGAAATTGGGATGTCCTGTCTGTTGCGCCGATATTGATCAGGTTATTAAGCTATACCATGTTTGAAACACGAAAGGACAGAGGGATCATCGAATCTCCTTTCTCTATGGCTGAAAGATACAATTCAAGCATAATGGATCATGGGTAGTTATGTTTATCATCTATTTCTCTGTTACAGCTTACAAGTTATTAGAGTCCATTTTTCTCTCTACAAAATATCTTTCCCATTGTACTAGTGCTTTATGCTTTATTTGAAGTTTCAAATTTTTTTGTTCGGTTATTTTAATAAAGTTAATAAATAATATACATATACAACACATATTATAATATCGCTAAAACGGTATAATGTTTGTGTTGATTTTCTTGCAAATTAAGAAAAACATGAGAGTTGTTTCTTTTTCACATGTTTCTAACTCAAATCTGGAACCCCCGGGGTAAGCTTGATCTTTGCTTGAATTATCAAGAAATGAGATTTGCCGTAAAAAGGAAAAATATAATTTTTTATATCTATATATACTACTACACCAATTATCTTTATTTTTATGTTGTATCTAATCTAATATATAAAAAATAAAAAGAACCCTTCGATTATTGACATATCATCAGTTAATAGCAAATAAAAAACTGATATGTATTCAGCTATTTATACATATATAAATTATTAAATTTGAATTTAATTATCTTAAAATTTGAATTTATAAACATTATCATACTAACAAAGATAGTTTTATATCAACGCAACCGAAAAAAATAAGTTATGAAACCAAAAATGAAAACAGTAGATCCATAAAGTTTCAAACAACCGAAAGAAGAAAAATCAGAACTAGAAAACCATAAAATAATAAAAGAACATTGAAGAAAAAATCAAAGAGATAACCAATTATCAAAAGTAAAGAAAACAAAAATAAAAACCAGAGGAAAAGTCACAGAAAAAGAGAGATAGAACCAACATAAAACTTAAAAGATAGGTGAAACCAGAAACTGCAAATGGTAAATTGACAAAATTAAAAATTATTACAAAATCGAAATTTGGATGCAATTTTTTCAAAAAACAATAAATTGAAGAGATTTCTAAGATAATCAAAAAATGCAAAAAAAATTTAATAATTTAATTAAAAACTCTAAAATATATTTATTTACAATACAAAATAAAACAAAATATGCGTATATAGCAATTTTTTTCTTAATATTATATAATTATTAGATTCAAAACTTAAACAATTATATAATTCGAAACAAATATGTTAAATCTCAACTGTCATATATCATAATTAAGATTTAAATAAAATTTTAAATTAGAAAAATATAACCACAAAAAGAACATTGAATAAAAAATTAAAGAGGTAACAAATTATCAAAAGTAAAGAAAAAATAACTATAACCAGAGAAAAAATACGGAAAAAAAAGAGAGATAGAACCAATGAAAGATATGTGAAAAAAACGAAAAATGGTAAATCGAAAAAGTTAAAATTATTGCAAAATCAAAATTTGGATTTAAAAAAATTCAAAAAAAAAAAGAGATTGAAGAGATTGCTAGGGTCGAGAACAAAAAATACAAAAATATAATAATCAAATTAAAAAAAAATCTAAAATATATTTATTTATAATATCAATTAAATGTGTATAGCGCGAATTTTCTCCTATTGTTATATAATTCTTAGATTCAAAGCTTAAACAAATATATAATCCACTACAAATATGTTAAATTTCAATAGTCATATTTCGTAACTGAGAATTAAACAAAACTTTAAATACAACTAGCCAGTATAATGTAAGAAGCACGTTTTTAAGAGAAATTAAATTCTAAAGAATTAAAAAGATAACGTATATCTGTGGGGAGAGAGGGAGAGGGAATTAAAAAAAATATAAATCTATAACATTAACAACCTTCATTATTCTTCATTATTCTGAAAATAAAACAAAAACATAACCATAGTAAAAACGAGAACAAAAAAAGAAAAAAAAACACTTGAGAATGTAGTAATTTTTTTTGTTTATCAAAATGTGAAGGTCCACTCTTGAAATCTTAACAAAACCAAATATTATTTGTTGGATTTGAACTGGTAACTGGAATGATATTGCTTGAGCTGATAATGGTCGGAATGATGGAGGAATTACTTGGTGGTGGTGGTTACGGTGGTTATCATCCATGAAAGGAAAACTGATATGCTCAACAGCAAAACTTGTTTGGTCAGAATGATTCATCATCTCAATAAACCATTGTTGGTTCTGATTATGATTTTGATTCAGATTCAGATTCAGATTTTGCTCATAGAATCCAATATTTGGAAACGCCGGATGACGACATTGTTGTTGATGATGATGCTGAGTTGGGTTAAAGAAAGCTGCAGCAGTGGCGGGTGAGGATGAAGAACCTAACTCATGAATAGTAGCATCTGGAGCAGTTGTAGTTGATGCACCTACATCGCTCATCTCCATACCAGCATTCTCCAAAATTTTGATCCTGCGATTAATATCTTTAAGATATTTTTCAATCAAATAACTTAAATTATTAAGATCTATAACATTGAGATGAAACATTCTCGTGTTTCCGATTAAACACTGGAACATGACTTGAGTCATCTCCAGCTCCTTATTATCCTTTTTCTGTTTTTTTAAATGCTCGGACGCTTTTGGCGATCCTTTGTCTGAGAAATGTCTCTTGGTCCACCATTTTTTTGTGTTGGTCCATCTCCGGCAACATCCAAAAATCCGAGACTATCCTTTGCACACCGGAATCTGATAGCCAGACCTCAGGATTGGAGTCATAAGGACTATAGATGATGGCACATGCATTTATACCACAAAGAGTCGCGAGCTCATTTACTTTCTTCATCAAACCTTTTTTTCTTTTCTGAAAGTTGCTTTCCTTGACAAATCATTTGCAATGAAAGCAAGCTTCACCTTCTTCCTTGTCATAATGGCTTTTTTTCTTTCTCTCTTTTTTATTTATTTGTGTGTTGTTTATTAAGTTCATGAATGAGTTGTGTTATATAGTGATGGAAGATATCTCTTTTAATTACATATTATTCTTTTATTTATAGTTAATCATAAAATATAAGAGTAATTATTACAATCAATAAAGTTATAATTTTATTTAATTAGAAATATCTTATTCACTTATAAACCAGATCACATTATAAAAAAAATCTACTGTTATTTTTTATAAAAAAACTGAAAATATGAGAATTTCAAAGATTTGGTTTTTTAGTAGGTCAAAGATTCTTTTTAATATATTTCTGTACATATTTCTTTTATTAGAAACTTTGAATTTATATTTTTTTTAACTTGTAAAGTAACCAAGAACTAGTAACATTATACACAGGGATAATCTATATACTTATTTATTTAGTGATTTGTTGATGTGTCAGCTCCACGACGAGTTTCAAAACGTCTTGCTTACATGTCAGCTCCACAGTGAGTTTCGGCTGCAAAATTTTTTTTTACCATATTTTTCAACTAAGTGTAATTTTTTTATTGAATCTTATTTGATGATTTGTTAAATTAGCTTAAAAACATACCGCTCTAATTAATTATGGTTTAATGCTTAATTCTATTGTCAATTAAACCATTTTTCAAATTTAATAAAACTGATATTTTGGGTTTTCAACTTCAAATGTTTTAGTATAAATATATATGACTTATTTCTAATTCGCTCACACCCTTCTAAATTGTTTTACTTCTTCCTTCTTCTTCGAATAAGTTCGTACGGTACTTCAAATCATTATGTTTCTGTTCTATGATTATTATGAATATATATATATATATATATATATATATATAGTTTGTATCTTCATTCAAAATCTCGTGTTTATGATCTTTGATTTCATTGTCTTTTATCACTATCTTTATAGTCTTTGATTTACTAATTGTCCAGAACAAACATGTTTGTTAAAAACTCATGGATCATCAGGTAAACTCATGAAGTCATCATGTCTTCAAACATTAAAATGAAAGGAATTCTAACAAACAAATATATTCAACACTAGAGAATAAAAAAAAAATTTAAACTACTATTAAATTTTCAAACAACTAAAATAAAAATTATAACAGCCCGCACAAGGCGCGGGCAAGTTCACTAGTTCTCTATAACTTATCGTTACCAATCTTGTCTTTTTATAACTTGCCTAGGTTAAAAACTTACAATACCCATTTCATATCTTTTAACAAAAAAAAAAAGAAATTCAATACCCATTGTGAAGCATAGATTTTTAATAACTTAACGTTTGGAGTATAGACAGCCAAAATAGTAGTTGATATTTATGAACGATAAAAATATAATTTAGGATGGAAAATTTGAATATAAATTTAAAACAAGAAGAATAGAGAATGATTTCTGGCCAAACTTGTGTTGTCATTATAAGATTATAGTATCACATTTGATAATAAAATCCGACTAAATCGAAAATTAAACGTTTAACGAAATGAATATATCATTTTTAAAAGAAAAAAAACTTAATATATATAAATATATTGCATATTTAAATTATTTTTAATTTATCTTTAATAAACTATTGTTTAGTTTACAAAAAGTTATAATATTCAAATATTTACTAAGAAAATTTCTGTGTATTTCATATGTTTAATTGGAATCCAAGAAGATATTTTTAAATTTTTATGTTTTAAGTTTATGAATTTATAAATATATAATTTATAAATTAAATAGAAAATAATTGTGAAAACATATAGTGGATCAAAATTTGTTGCATAAACTTTTAATACTAAAAAAGTAGCAGGGAAAAATGTGGTTAATGAAAGAGATATTGGTAGATCTTGTCTTATTAATACAATATTACATTTTTAGTGTCGATTTAAGATTTGAAAAACTGATTAATAGATACATATATTTATTTATTACTAATATGAAATACAATATAACAGAATCTGTTAAATAATATATATTTTCAGGTGGTTTCATTCTTTTTATTATTCGCTTATTTTTTTAGAAAATCTTGAATTATTATTCTAAATTTTAATATACTTTGAAAACTAACCCCTCTTTTAAAATTTTTGAAAACTAAATTTTCTACCTTCTTGAATTTTGAGAATATACGAATACAATAATTAGTTTATTTTATATTTTTTGGAATAAAAATTTTGTAAGATAAATTTTCAATTAAAATATCATATATATATATATATATCTACTATATTAAAATAAATAATTTTAATTAAAATTTATATTCGGATATAACAAATATATTTAAATCTTCAAAATGCTCTTCAAATCAGATTCTCAAATACTGATTGGAGCTATCAAGAGGAACCAGCTAAGGAGATCAAGAGCATTGTCTTTGATATCAAGTTCTTATGCTCTATGTTTCTTGATGTTTTGTTTATTCATATCCCACTCACAGCTAACATGTTACAAGTTGCGATCACTAAACAGTCGCTCCTCGACTATCAACTTGTATCGCCGATTTCAGGCTAATCTCCCTTTATGAATAGATAAATTAGATGTTCAAAAAAAAAATCTTCAACAACCATATGAACCAATTTATCAAACTTCATGACATCTCCGCATATGTATTTTTTTCAGTTAAAAAAAATGTTTTCCTTCTTTCTTCTAATTCATCACAAAACTCTATGATTTCTTGCTCATCATCCAATCTCCAAAAACTCCAAAAATATGCAACATTCTTAAGAACAAAACTCACTTTTTTTCTTTTCTTGCAAACTCTTTCACACGAGGCAGTTCTATCTATTCATTAAACTTTCCTAGAACTGAATCTAAAGAACATCTCTTATCACTTAAATTACTGGATCATATCCATCATAGAAATATATAGTTTTATTATTGGGAGGATTACTGTACTAACTTTAGAAAGTATCTATATTGTTTATTAGGCACACTTTTATTTTTTTTACAAAACTAACCTAGCATACCCAAAACATCCTTTTTGCCTTTGTTGATAAAAACCTAATTACAAAAATACCATTATTTTTTTAATGCCACGTACGCAGAAAATAACGCTGAAAATTTGATAAGTCTACCAGGCTTTGACGGTAGACTCATCAAATTTTGGTCAACGCAAAAATTTTGTCGGTAGAGTTATTAGGTCGATGGTAGATTTATTCGAGAGTTGGTAGATTTTACAAATGTTGGTAGACTTATCTTGGTAGAGTTTTAACAATGAAAGGTAGATTTATTATGTTTCGGTAGATTTGTTGTTATGAATGGCAGACTTGTCAAACGTGTTGGTAGACTTGTTAAAGAAAGCGTTGACTTTCCCGCATAGTTGACTTTGTCGGTAGATTTATTGACAATGAGGTAGATTTAATTTCTGAGTTGGTAGACTTATGTCCTTTGGCAGTAGATTTATGTGAAAAAAATTGTCAATACGTGACGGTAAATATATCTGTTTTATGATAGAGTTATATCTAGTTGGTAGATTTTTTGCTTTTGTGGTAGATATGTTTGTTTTGTGGTAGATTTAATTCAAGTAAAATTTCTTCCGGTGAGTGGTAGATTATTTGTTACATGAGGTAGACTTACAGAATATTAGTAGATTTGTTTGTTTTGTGGTAGATATGTTTGTTTTGTGGTAGATTTAAATTCAAATAAAATTCCTTCCGGTAAGTGGTAGAATATTTGTTACATGAAGTAGACTTACAAAATGTTGGTAGATTTGTTTGTTTGTTTGGTAGAGTTTATGTAATCTGATAGAGTTATTGTACGTATGGTAGACTTTTTATAATAATCATGTGGTAGATTAATTAAGTTTGGTATTTACAAAGATAACCTCGATCTGGTAGACATATGATATGCTTATGGTAGACTTGTTTCTATGGTAGAGTTATTTACCATGCTTGAAGTAGACTTAGTTGTTAATGTTTGGCAGACATTTGATTTTCTGGTTCATAATTACTTTTTTGTCCGAAAAGTATTCTCCTATCTACGAAAAACCAGCGGTTTGGTAGACTTATGTTTGCAGTGTTGTATGTCTTTCTAGTTTCGTCTTTATGGTAGACTTCTGTTTTTTTTTTTTTTTGTAAATCTATTTGTATATTTGTTTTTTTGGTTTTGTTTAATTAATACGTACTAGATTTTAAACTCATGCGTCTGCTCGAGAATCTTTGATTTTTTAATTCTAATATAAGTTATATTTATTTATTTAGATATAATTTATTTTTTTATTCATTTTTTAAATCAAGAATTTTGTTATCATATTTTAATTTTAAATAATATAGATTTGTATATTAGTAGAATAAGAGTATTAGTTAATTAAGTATACATCAATCTATTGTTAATTATGAACTTTGTTATTATGTGAATTTAGAATTATACATAAACAATCTTAATATCTATGAATTTGCTAATTTTTCCGTTTAATTGCCTTAAATCATTTTTTAATATCTTACATATTTTGACAATTTAACCCGTATAAGACTGTAATTATATATGCATAACCTATAATATTATTGTATAATATAAATATTTACTAATATTAAATATTTTATATTTTAGACCGATTGATTATGATAAAATATAGTAAGATATTCATTTACCATTTGTGTTATTATAAAAAATGTATATATCTACAAATTGGCTAACCCGTTAGTTTAATTACCTCAAATCATTTTAACATCTTATATGTTTTAATAAACTAACTCATAGACATTAAGTATAAATATATAATCCTAATCAGATCCATCATATTATTTTATAATATAAATTTATTAATTTTCAGTATTTGATATTTTAGATCGACTTATGATAAAATATAATAAGATATTTCTTTACTATGCATTATTATAAAAATATTATTAAAATTTAAAATTTAATTTAAATATAAATTTTATTTAAGAAATTCTAAAGTATTAAAATTATTATCTAAATTTCCGTAAGAAAAATTTAATTATAATTGTTTTTGAAATTTTTGAACTTTAAATTAAATTGAATCTAAATTTTTGTAATAAAATTTAATTATTTTAAATTTTGAATTATTTGAAATTTAAATTAAATATGACCTATATTTAAGGAAATTTAAAATATATAAATTAATAACTATATATCTAAAAAATATATAAATATAAAATAAAATATTTTTAAAAAATTTGGGGAGTGTTTGAAAGCAAGTACTAAAAATGCTTCTGTTTTAATATAATAGATATATGTATCAATATTAATATGTATATATGCATATGTCAAATTTACATATTATATATAAATCAGGTATTTATTATTTGTATTTTTATTTATTTATACAATTATATATATTAAATATGAGTTTAGTAAACTAAAGTTGAACGTGGCGCACTGATATTTGCTTATTTAGTGTTCTCAAAAGACGCGGGTTCGAGTCTGCCTGGTCTCATTTTTTTTTCAGTTTTAGGTTAAATATAGACGAAATGACAAATTTGCCCCCAACTTCTTCTTCTTCCCTGCGACCTGTAAATTTTTTTCTGCGCTGTTCACCTTTTTTTCACGATTTTGATGTTTCTGCTAGATATTTTTATGGATAACACAAACTTATGATAGATCTACAATGAAACATCCGATTTCAAGCTTAAAAACATACAAAAAAGTAATTTAAAAAAAACAACGATTATTGAACTGAATAAATTCAAATCACGGTGGTTGGAAGCTGCCTAACACTTAATCGCCGATTATGTGGCCGAGCCTGGTCTGTTTTCAAAAGAACATGGATGTAAATAAATATGTTTTTTTAATTATATATTTTATTAATTATAGTGGTATTCTTGTAATAATATTCACTATTTAGACAAAATAGTATAAGACCAATTTTCTAAGATTAATTTGGTAAGTCCTTTAATATGTTAAGTTAGGTTTGTCAATTCAGGGTAGTCTGAGTAATTTTTACTTACAAATTATCAAAGATGAGGATGAGGCTAGTGAACACGGGAGAAGAGTAAGTGTTCCATTTTTTTGGGTCTAATACGTGTTCCATTTTACTTGGGTCAAAGAGAAAACAACATGGTCCTATCCAGTTTTTTGGAACAATAGCAAATATTTCCTTCGATTTGTCTCTTGATCTCAATTGCTTACGGACCGTACGAGATAATGATCAGCATGGGATGTTTACCATGATGTAATGAATATTTGGATTCGAGAGATCCTTTAGACTTAGTACGAATCCCAAATTAAAGAAAATCTAACCAAAGCTTTATCATGATATGAAAGAAGATTTGGTATTCTTTAATTTGGCCGAGTTAGGCAAACCCTCAAATGTTGTTATTAATTAAAGTTAACATAACGTAAAAGACGTGAATAATTAATACTTTTATGATATAAATAGATAACCAAAAGTTTTCCAAAATAAAAGTATAATAATATATTGTTAACCAAAAGTAATTTCATCCGTTCATGTTTGAGGTTTGTAAGTGGTAATGTAGCCATGTAGGGGTATAGCGTAAACTCAACATATTTCTGAGTTTGTATTCCACTAAATACACGATTTAAACAGTAAGAAAATCTGAATTTATATGGGTTCGGTAAATTAGTCTAAATTTTGGTTTAAAATGATTTTGGTTTATAAAAATAAATAAAAAATAAGTTTCATGAAACACTATTTTTATTAGAGATAAATACCGGATGATGCTGATCATATTTTAACAAAAGTTACCTGAACATTTCTTTTGACAGAAATTACTCTGGATTGTAAACTTAATAAAAAATAATAATAGTCGACTATGTTTGTCTCCAGCATAAATAATCAATTGATAACTAAAAATTATATCATAACGTTCAAGTTTTCCTCTTAAAATATTAACTTGATCAGTATATGAGTAGAATCTTTCATCATCAATTCTAATCAATCCATGATCACGTAAATAATTTAGAGTATGGCTCACCATTAATGCAATACAGTAACTTTAGAATTTAATAAATCGTGTACCGTTTTGCTATTCCATTATAAAAAGAAAGCAACAAGAACAAAAATTGTTCACAAATGTTTATTTATTATTATTATTATTATTATTATTATTATTTGAGATAAAAGTATGAACAACATCAAACCATTTCTCTTGGCTATTTACATTTCTTTAGTCTTAACATGTCAAGATCGTGTCTTAGCTGACTGTACTACAACGAGAGATGTCATAGTCCCAAAGATTTCTGAGTGGCAAGTCCAGGTGATCAACAGTTTGACCACTGGTGAAACTCTTTTCATCCATTGTAAATCTAATGACAACGATTTAGGAGAACATAATCTGAATTTTAGTGAAAGATTTTCTTGGAATTTTGGAGAAAATATGCTTCACTCAACTTTGTTTTGGTGTTATATGAGTAAAGATGACGGTCATATGAATGTAAAAGTGTTTTGGGATGATGTAATTTTGTTCCATAGATGCGATTGGAAAAACTGTGTTTGGACCGCTAAAACAGATGGTGTTTATCTTTGGAATTCTGCGATCGGCGAAGATATGTTGTCAGAGAAATGGGAAGTAGGATATTGAAGACATGTTTTTAGTAATTTTCTTATTTGATGAATATCATTGATTCACGCAGAAAAAAAATAATTTAATAATAATATTTTGTTTCTTTGTAACAATAATAATAGAGTTTTGTTGTCAATTATTTTTGGGTAGTGGGTATCTATCATTGATATATTTTTGTTTTGATTGTTAAGAAAACTAATTGTTGATATACAGGCCGATTAATGTGTAGAGACTATACACAAAATCACATATTATCGATAAACAAACTCATTAAAATTGTTATATTTTATATCCATTGTTTAAAAATATCAATTTAAATTTTTGGGAACGATCATTGGTTTAACATGTCTGAATGAGATTAGTAAACCATTCTTGATTAGTTGTTATCTAAGTTCAAAACTCGTATATTAGCCATTTTAATGAGTTTGATTACGATATTCAACCAATCATTTTCTTAAAAAAATTTAAATTCTTTGATTTTCTATGATTATCTCTGCTTTTCACTCCACTCAAAATTTATAAAACAATCAACTTAACCCAAACGTCTTTTTCCTGATTTTATAAAACAAATGACAAAAAATATCTTTTAAAAGTAATACAAAATTTTTTTTGTAGATTTGTTGCTCTACAATAAAATATGTGACTTCTGTTGATTATATGAACTTGATAATTGGTACTTTGAATTCATTTGATTTTTTTATAAATGGAAGTTTGTTTTATACGTTTTTGCTTAAACATACTATATACATTTTTGCTTAAACAAATGAATGGAACTTACTATATACGTTTTTGCTTTATTAATGGAACATATACGTTTTTGCTTGAATATACGTTTTTGTTTAGTTTGTGGTTTATTTCTTGTAATGTTAATTTATACTTTTAATAAAAGAATATGTACTTTTATTATATATATATATTATAAATTTGTGTTTACATCGATTTTTTGAGTATTTTAATATAGAATTTCATGTTTTTCAATGGTAGTAAAAAATTCTTATTAAAAATATATTTTACAATTGAGTCGCATGATTATGGAGGAGAGCTTGAGTTGCCTACCATTCATTCGCTTCAGTCACAGATTTTGGCAATACTACAAATTGGAACATTTGGAAAGAAAATAGGCAGAATGAAATTTAGTAGCTTGTAGTAAGCATTACAATAACATTTCTTGAAAGTTTCTATATTTTCAATAAAAGTAGTAAAGAAAAGACCACTGTTATATATGAATTCAAAATATATAACAATTTTTTCAAAATTATATTATTCATCTCACATAGTTTTCTATAAGACTGCAATCAGCCGACTTTTTTGTTTAGACACCACCGAAAAATATATCATTGAGCCTCCATCAACATGAATCAAGTGTTTTTTGTGGTTCTCCAATATTTACATCAAAAAAAAGCAGAAGAAATTGTATACTTCTTTGTTTGCTTCATTTCAAAATTGAGATATGATATAATTCACTTGATAATGTTGATATTTATAATACTACATGCAATTATTATTAAAGGAGTTACGAAACCTGTTATTAATGTGTACAAATTTTTTAACTGAATTAAATTTTTGGTGATAATAGCAGAAAATCAGATTTTAGTTTTAATTGCATAGTTAATACCAATTAAATATGGTTTTAAGTATAAATAATTATATATATATATATTTAGAATATAAATGCCAAATGACCCAATAGGGAGAAAGTGAAACCTTTCTTTTATATACATGATTTTTTATGGGGGAGTTCGTCAAATAATCAAACTAAATTTAAATATATATATATATATATAATTAAGTCTTAGTTCACATTTTTGCTTAAATCTTTCTAATATGCTTAGTATATAGAATAGGTCTGATCTTGAGGTGAAGCGAAAATTATTGATTTGACTCTCAAAATTTTGAAAACTTTTTGAAGTTCTATCTTATGACGTTGAAAACAGCCCTATAAACACAAACAATCAACTGAACTTATATTCATATTTTTTATTTATATAAAAATATGTAATGTTGTAAACTAGATTTATGTTCATGATTACAAAATCTAGAAGTTATAGTCCAATTTATGAAGTTCAAACTTCAAAATGTGCAGGTCGAAATTTTAATTTACAAACTAAATCAAATAAAATCAAAAGTAATAAGAAAGATTAGGCCAATGAGAGACTCTGATTAGCTATAGTCATGAATAAAAGATGTATTATGTATCGATGAACTTCTCATACACAAAACCCATTACAGTCTCTCTCTCTCTCTCTCTCTCTCTCTCTCTCTCTCTCTCTCTCTCTCTCTCTCTCTCTCTCTCTCTCTCTCAAACCTCTCTTTTCTATCTCCATCTCTTCCACTCTTGTAAAAAATGGCAGTTTATAAAAAGCGTGTTGTCTCTAAAACTTCTTCTCCTCTTGCTATTGTCAAAACAAATGCTCACGATCCAGGACAAAACTGTCCCTATCAAAGCACCGATTGTGTCTTCTTACAATGATCGGAACAGACCGTTGCTTGGAACTGTAGACAGGCTGAGGAACCTGAATGTGATGAGAGAAGGGATCCAGCTTCCCACCAGTGTTGTGGTTGGAGACCAGTCCTCAGGGAAGTCCAGTGTTCTCGAATCCTTGGCAGGAATCCGTTTGCCTCGTGAGCAAGAAATCTGCACTAGGGTTCCTCTTGTGATGAGGCCAGACAAGTCCTAGCCCTGAACCTGAGATCTCGCTGGAGTATAACGACAAAGTTGTTTTTACTGACAAGGAGCACATAGCTGAAGCTACTGATGTGATCGTTGGGAAGTCATGTATCTCTTTTCTCTCTCATTTAGTGTTAACTGTATTTATGATGCAAACTTGCAAGAAATAGATTTTTTTTTTTGAACTATCAGGAGTTTTTGGCTAAAGCCCGTAATTCTTCCAGGTTTGAAACCACAGCAGAATCACAGCATGGAATATTAGTTCTGCTCCAAGCGTCTCAATCTTACAAGAGAGATTACTATGAATGAGACCTTAATTTGAAACATGGAATAAATAAGAAGCTATATATCTACTTAATTACCATACAAGTCCTTGACACTAGATCTTTACATTATAATTAAATTGAATACAAGTGCTAAATGTGTTATTTTTAATACAAGTTCTAAAGGTTTTATTTGATTTTGGAACTATTATGTCATTACTGATTTGATATTTTTCATGCTATAGACTATTTTTCCTAAATGATGAAACCTCTGAGATTTGTGTATTTGACGCTAACCAGTTCTGACTATAATAAGCACAAGAGAAATTATTGTGAATGAGACCTTTATCTGAAACATGGATATTAGAAATTAGTTATTTACTTACCATAAAAGTCTCTGAAACTAAATGTGGAAATCTACCTAAATACTATTGCCTAGAGGTGTTCATGTTGTTAACTATACTAGTACAGTAGAACCTCTATAAATTAATACTCTATAAATTAATAATCACTATAAATTAATAATTTTCTCTGGTCTCGAGTTGGGCCAATGTAAAAATCTATCAAATTCGATAATATAATAAGATAATAATTTTTTTGAAACTTCTATGTAAATCTATGGTCCCAACATAAAGATAAATTAATAATTATATAAATTTTGTATATATATATATAAGATAAAATATACTAAAATATAATTAATTTGTTGTTTGTTATTATTTAAGGTTGAAATTTTATTGAAAAGCATCTCTTTACTTATTTACATCAATAGTTTTTAATATATTTTTTTAAATCTCTATTCAAAATTTGTGAAAAAATTTAAATGTGATAATTGATTTTCTTACACGTAATTGTTTCAAAATATAATATGATATTGCTTCAATTTTAGTATCAATATTAAGGATAGTAACCATGATTTTTTTTATTAATTTTGTACTAACGAATATTTGTATTTTTACATAGATAATTCAGGCCATAATAACAAATAAAAATAACTATTCTATTCTAATTGCTATGATTAGTAATCATAATTTAAGTTTTTATGCATATGAGTTTACATTTTTAATTTTAACATCATTTGAAAAAAAAAATTTAAGAAGAAGATGGACGATAAAAATAATTTTCTTCTATAAATTAATAATTATTAATTTATAGATAAAATATTAATATCACGATAAATTAATAAAATATTACGGTCCTAACATTATTAATTTATAGAGATTTTACTGTATCAAAAACAATGAAAGCTATAAAGTATCCAAACATTAAACATACAGCCACAGTTCATATCAAGTATTTTCTTCAATTATCATTCAATTATAACTATACATATATGGAAAAGTTTTCCCAACAATTTTCATAAATTTTTAAAAGTTTGCAATTCTAAAGAACTATTTTTTTTTCTAAGAATCTGCAAATTTGCCGGAAACAAAAAAAAAAGTCTAGTTTAAATATTATCCACACATGGCCATAAGCCCATAACAGAAGAGAACGCTGAGAAAAACTAAATTGATAAAAGAGTAGAAAAAAACATAAATACACACATATGTATATATTAACGACCTCCACTCCAAAAGATTCTCTCTCTCTCTCTCTCTCTCTCTCTCTCTCTCTCTCTCTCTCTCTCTCTCTCTCTCTCTCTCTCTCTCTCTCTCTCTCTCTCTCTCTCTCTCTCTCTCTGCCGCTTGCTTTCTCCTTCATTCCCATTTCCACTATATAAGAAGAAGAGAAGAAAGTTCGTCTCTTTCTTAATTTAGAAGATAGACAGAGTACAAGCAACCGAACCCATCATCATTTCGTTAGAGCACCTCCAACAGAGGTTTATGTGAGGTTCGTCGATGGGGTTCATAGCCTATTTTGGAATTAAAATAAAAAAAATTTAATAAGAATGAAGAATCGCAGAGAGTTTGAAAAACCTCAGCTGGTGAACCTCACTTGCAGACGTGGCGAATTTCGTACCCTCTATCCTTCTTGAAAAAAAAATTCATTTCCTCTTTTGTTTTTCACTCTCTCTCCTCTCTCTTCTTCAAAATTTTATTAATTTAATATTTGGGTTGAACCCCATAGAGAGTTCACCATTGAAGGTGTTCTTAGATCCGAGTCTTTCTACTTCTTTCTCTTTCTATCCAATACACTCCACTCTGGATTTTCCCGCGATATGTCACTGTCTCTTTCAAATCTAGGAGCTACTCTTGTGTGAGTGAGTCCCTCTCTTTTTGATCTTTCAGGTGTTTAATTCTCACTTCTTTTTTTTCATCTACTTCCTAAATTTGGTTCGAGAAACAAATCGGTTTTGCTCTGTGTATACGGTTTGTTTACTTGTAGCTTTTGAAAATTTGATTTGTTTGTAAGCTTCTCCTATAAATTTCGATTTTGTTTTCTGTGGAATTCTTACATCTATATGGTTAGATTGATACTAGTGGATAAATGTATTGTTTATCTGGTTCTATTTCATATCTATTGTTCTGTCTTTTCGATTAGATTTTTGCTTTTATTTTCTCACACCAAATCTGTTGTGGAAAGATTTTGGATCAAATGGTTTTGTAACAATTTGCTTACTATGCTTGTCCTGGATTCCAAAGTTTCAAGCTTTTCTTCTTAGATCTCATGTCTTCTAATTCTTACGGATATTGATCATTGTGTTTGTTTTACAGTGAACAGATTCAATGTTTTGGTTGGTGATAATTATATCATCAATTTCTTTTACTTAAGTATCCACTTAGTAGTCTACATTCTTTAAGTCGGAACTTTGAATCTCCTGTTTGGTTTTATCTGGATAATACAATAGGCAATGAAGGGAAGATCAGATGGAGGGAAAAAGAAACGTGTGATTGCTTTCGTCTGCGTTGCAGCATTAGTTCTTGTTTTCGTTTATCTCTTCTACGGCTCCTCTGATCATAGAGCATCAGCTATTGAGTACGGGAGAAAACTAGGCTTAGGTGGTGATGAAGATGAGACCATACAGGATGATACTTCCAGCTCGTTTGGTCTTGATGATGGTTTCACGCCGAGAAGTTTTTCTGTGAGTCTTCAAGCATTTTCTCATCTTCCTCATTGATGGTTAGGTACTTAGGTTCAAGTGGTAAATGTTTTTTTCTTGTTTTTTCCAAGGTGTGTGATGATCGGCATTCAGAGCTTATTCCTTGCATAGACAGGAATCTCATATACCAAATGAGACTGAAGCTGTATTTGTCGTTGATGGAGCATTATGAACGCCATTGTCCTCCTTTTGAAAGACGATTCAATTGCTTAATTCCTCCTCCTAATGGATATAAGGTGGGCTATATTGGTATGATTAGTGTCTGACATCATTTCTTTCCACGTCTGAAGCTGTTTTCTCTTTGAATATGTTATAGATTCCAATTAAATGGCCAAAACGTAGAGACGAAGTGTGGAAAGTGAACATACCTCATACTCACCTTGCACATGAGAAGTCTGACCAAAACTGATGGTTGTCAAAGGAGACAAAATTAATTTCCCTGGTGGTGGCACAAATTTTCACTATGGGGCTGATAAGTACATTGCTTCCATGGCTAATGTAAGTTAGTTTCTTGGTTTGTATACAATATAGCGTATCTTATTCTTTGTTTTTCTGATTGTATTCTCGGAATTTTCAGATGCTAAACTTTCCGAACAACGTTTTGAACAACGGTGGAAATCTAAGGACAGTTTTTTATGTTGGTTGTGGTGTTGATAGCTTCGGTGGTTATCTTCTATCATCAGATATCCTGGCTATGTCATTGGCTCCAAACGATGTGCATCAGAACCAAATAAGTTTTCTCTTGAGAGAGGCATTCCTGCCTCCCTCGGTGTTTTAGGGACAAAGAAGCTCCCATACCCGAGCAGATCTTTTGAACTTGCTCACTGTTCACGTTGCAGGATCGATTGGCTTCAAAGAGACGGGATTCTTCTTCTTAAGCTAGACAGAGTGCTCAGACTTGGTGGTTATTTTGCTTATTCATCTCCAGAGGCTTATGCACAAGATGAAGAAGACCTCAGGATCTGGAGAGAAATGAGTGCTCTTGTGGAGCATATGTGTTGGAAGATAGCTGCAAAAAGAAAAAAAAAACTATTTGGCAGAAACCTTTGACAAATGATTGTTATCATGAAAGAGAACCAGGAACTCAGCCTCCTCTTTGCCGTTCTGATAATGACCCTGATGCTGTATGGGGAGTAAACATGGAAGCTTGCATAACTCCTTACTCTGACCGTATGTTTTCAAACCTCTCCTCGCTTTTGTGATAGCAAAACTGCCATAAGATTCTCATTGAACTATTATTTTGGGTTATTCTTAGATGACCACAAAACAAAGGGAAGTGGGTTAGCTCCATGGGCGGCTCGGTTAACCTCTCCTCCTCCTAGGCTTGCTGATTTTGGATACTCAACTGGCATGTTTGAGAAGAACACGGTATATAGGAACCCATAACTTTTCTCTATTGATTGAAACTGATAAACTAAGAACACATGGGCTATTCAGTCACATCATATATTTCTTATTCGGAAGGGAACATTGGAGGCAGAGAGTAGATAGTTATTGGGAACTCTTGAGTCCTAGAATCAAAGCTGATACAGTGAGGAACATAATGGACATGAAAGCAAGCATGGGATCATTTGCTGCTGCTCTGAAAGAAGATGTTTGGGTAATGAATGTTGTTCCCGAGGGCGGACCGAACACGCTTAAACTGATATATGATAGAGGTTTAATGGGAGCGGTTCATAGCTGGTCAGTTTCTTCTTGATCAAAATGACACATTACTGACTGGTGAATATTATCTCGAATCTTTAGCATGTTAATCTGTTTCATTGTACCAACAGGTGTGAAGCATTCTCGACATATCCAAGAACCTATGATCTTCTCCATGCTTGGGACATTATATCAGATACTAAGGAAAAAAGGTGTAGTGAAGTTGATTTGTTACTTGAGATGTATCGAATATTGCGCCCAAGCGAATTTGTAATCATAAGGGATAGACAGAGAGTGGTGGATTTGGTGAAGAAGTATCTTAAGGCATTGCATTGGGAGGAAGTAGGAACCAACATAGATTCAGATTCAGATCAAGATTCAGACAATGTTGTATTCATTGTCCAGAAGAAGTTGTGGTTGACTAGTGAAAGCCTTAGAGATATGGAGTGACGAACCCACACGAGATACATAGACATTACGACCGACGAGAGTATACACCCAAGAAAGTTCTTTGTTGGAGAAACATTAATTTGTTGTTTTTCTTATAAGAATTGTTTCATTTTTACATTCTTTGATGTTGTTTGTATGATTTGGTAGAGAAGACTCGTATAAGTAAAGATTGATATAATTCATTTTTACATTCATTGATGTTGTTTGTATAATTTGGTAGAGAAGACCCAACTAGAAATGTATATGAAAGGGAAATCAACTATAAGAAATGTTCTTGGTTTTAAAATGAGTTATGAGATGCTACCCTGACAGGTGGGAGTTGCATGGTTATTACAACACTTTTTATCGATGCAAGTTAGCAGTTAAGGAAGCTAATCATTGGTTTTAAGAACATCTCAGATCATAAAGGAACAACTATAGCAATTGTTCTTCTTGAATGTTTGGTTGAATGAGGCATAACGAAGGTCTTTACCATAATCGTTGACAATGCTACTGCCAAAACTTTTGCTCTCACGAAATTTAAAAATTCATTCAAATTTATACTTTAGTGCCGAAATTGTTATGTGCATTCCCTTCGTTGTGTTTTTCTTCTTAATTTGTTTTCCAATTTTTTATTTATAATTACAGTTTAATAAGATGTATTCTCAGAGTGGAAGTGATCATATTGGTAGTAGTTATGTTCCATCTTCTGAATCTGATGAAACTCCATTGTGGAAATATGTAACGAAGTTAGAGAAACAAGGAGCAAAGGGGGAAATTTGGAAATTCCAGTGCAATATCTATAATGACACTCGTTAAGGCTCATATTACAAAGTTAAAGAACATTTACTTGGATTGCCGGGTCATGAAATTTTTATGTATAAGAAAAAGCAACAAGGATTGAAAAACTTGAAATGCAGAGATTGGAAGATGAGTTTTAGAAGAAAAAAGCTGTGTCTGGATCTAATTAAAGAAGTCTCTTTACCTTGAGAGAAAGATGTTGCCAGCTTTAAGAAAATAAAGTCTTGCTTATTACCCATTGTTGTTGTATTTGGTATTCAAGCTAGAGACCATCTGGATCAAGAGATTGGAAGAATGTTTTTTACAGGAGGCTCGCCATTCAATCTTGCTAGAAACCCGCATTACGACAAGGCATTTCAGTTTGCTGCTGCCAGCAAAATTGACGGTTATGTTCCTCCTGGTTATAATAAGTTGAGAACCACTTTATTGTAGAAAGAAAAAGAGAATGTAGAAAAGTTATTAGTACCGTTGAAAGGGACATGGAAAAAAAGAGGGGTGATGATTGTGAGTGATGGTTGGAGTGATCCTACACAAAAACCTCTAATCAATTTCGTAGCTACTTCTGGAAGTGGTCCTCTGTTTCTGAAGACTGTGAATTGTTTAAGCGAAGTCAAAGATAAATTCTTCATTGCTGATTTGATGTAAAGTTATTAATGAATTGGGTCATCAAAATGTTGTGCAAATTATTATAGATAATGCACCAAACAGTAAGGCGGCTGGAGAGCATATTGAGAGTTTGTTTCCCCACATATATTGGACACCATGTGTTGTGCATATGCTTAATGTGGCCTTGAAGAACATTTGTGCAGGAAAAAGTACAGAAGGGAATGTAGCAACCTATGATGAGTGTAACTGGATTACTGAAGTTCATGGGGATGTACTTGCTATTAAAAATCTCATTATGAACCATAACATGAGACTATCAATTTTCAGTAAGTTCTCTCTTCTAAGGTTGCTTTCTATTGCTGATACTTGTTTTGCGTCAATTATAGTGATGCTTAAAAGAAGGAAGCTGATCAAGAGGGGTCTTCAAGCCATGGTTATCTTATAGAGAGGATGACATTGGGAAAACAGCCTTAGTTAAAGTGAAGATCGTGAATTAGTTAAAGAGAAGATTGTGAATGATGATTGGTGGGAGAAAGTGTCTTGTATTCTTGATTTCACTGGACCTATATATATGATATGATTAGGTTTTGTGACACTGACAAACCATGCCTTCACTTAGTATATGAGATGTGGGATTCTATGATTGAGAAAGTGAAGCTTGAGATCTACAAGAGAGAAGCTCGCCAGTGACATAATTTAGTCTCTTCTATGATGTCATTTATGAAATCTTAGTGGCTCGTTGGACAAAGAATAACACACCTCTACATTGTCTAGCTCACTCTTTAAATCCAAGGTATTATGATTATATAATTTATTCTTTTTTTAATTTCTTTGTCATATATATATATAACATATTTTGTATTTTGTAGATTTTATAGTGATGAATGGCTAAATGAAGATTCCTCAAGGAGTGCTCCACATAGAGATGCAGAAATCTCACTTAAGAGGATGAAGTGTTTTAGGAGATTGTTTCCAAATGATGATGATCATCTGAAAGTTATGGAGGAGTATGCATCATTCTCGATGAGAAGTGGTCTTTTGCAGATTTAGCATGCATTTCGATAATGTTTACTATGGAACCTAAAAGTTGGTGGCTAACTTTGGTGCCCAAACTTCTCTTCTCCAAGGCTTTTAAATTGCTTAAACAACTTTGTTCATCTTCTTGTGATGAGCGCAACTAGAGTACTTACTCATTCATTTATTCGCTGAAAATGAACAATTTGACTCCAAGTCGTGCTCAAAATTTGGTTTTCATCCACAAGAATCTGCGAATTTTGTCCAGAAATTCTGAAGAATATGAAGTTGAGAAGACCAAGAAGTGGGATGTTGGTGGAGATGTTGATTCGATGGAAGAAGTTGGATTTTTAGAGTTTGCAGATCTTACACTAGATGAGCCAGATTTGGAGGGTGACCTAGCTGTTGATTAGGTTGTATTTATTGTTTTTTTAAAGATATTAAAGTAAGTGGTTTTTTTAAACTGTAAAGACTTATTGGTGATATTTGTTAAACTATGAGTATTTTTTTTATATTTGACTGCGGTACTCATGCCGTACCCGTCTCTACAACTTTTAAATTTGATGTTCGTTCCCATCCCTGTTTCCTGTCCCCGTACCTGTCTCAGTGCAACTTAGGTGGAATTCGATTACCGTCGTCGACAGTTACACTTGAATCTGCTTTGAATCTACAGTGAAGTTTCTAGTTGCATCTATTGCTTGCACCATCGAAGCTCCTTCTGCCTATCAGACAAGATCCTGACTGACTGAAAATTTTCTACTAGTGTAAGAATAAGTTTCGATCATCTTAAACTCATGACCTCACCCTCTGCCTTGACTAAAGCTTTTCAAATAAGTTTTTTAGGGAGATACAACTCCTAGCCACAAGAGGACGATACCATATTTGGAGAAGAATAATTTTTCATCATCTCCGAATCTAGATCTGCAGAAAAAAAAAGATAAATCCGAACTTAGCCGGAAGACAGATCCAAATAACAAATAACCTTTACTATTGAGCAGTAAAAGGAATCTATTAATTGGAACATTATTATCCGTTCAAAGTCGGAACCCAATATAAACAAAAAAATTCCTATTATTGATCAAAACTATGAGAGGTAAAAGAACAGAGAAAAAAGAGAGAAGAGAGAAGAGAGAAGAGAGCTACTCACAGGCTCCATTCGAGTTGGAGTTTATATGTGCCACCAAAACCGGTCTTCGGTCTTGTGGGAAATTATAAACAGCTTTTTCTTCTTGTCTCTCAATTTATTTATTATAAAAAAAATTATCTCAGCAATTTTTATATTAAAAAAAAAACTATTTATGTCAATAACTTTGACATTTATTCTTGGCTTTTGACATTACCATCGAACATATTTCCCGTGGAGGGGTCCACGCGGAATAATAAAGCCGCTCAATCCACTTCTCAATCCTCAAAATTAAATCACTTTTCCCAATAATATATTCAATTTTCGGTATTCAGTTTATTAGTTTCCCAATTTTCCTTAACAATAATATTTTTGTTTTAAGGAAAACCAATTAAACCCTTAATTTACGGTAATCAACTTTAGTAAGTCACTAAAGAAAAATTAATTCATTTCGAACCTAATCTCCCAAAACAGCATATAATAAGATTGCTAATAAAGGAGAGAGAAAACATAAAAACAACTGAGAGAAGAAGAAAGAAGAGAGAGAGACGCAGAAGAAGAACTGTATGTAGTTGCCATAGTCTTTGCAATTCACACACATCGAAAGCGATAATAAAGTTTCCAACTTTTTTTCTTTCCCCTTTTTTCTTCCTTCTTTCAAATTTCAGAATTCGATCTTCAAAATTTGAAGAACAAGAGCAAGAATTGAGGAATCGAATCCCCAGGAATCAAGGTCTTCTTCTTTCACCTTTATTTTTAATTTTCTTTCTTTCTTTCTCTCACCACAAATTGCGGGTCTCTGTCTCTGTGTGGTCTCCATGTTGTCTTATTCTTTATGTTTTCATTACATCTTGTCCTCTGTTCCTGCTTCGGTTGGATCGAGCTTTGTAAGAATTGAATGATTTGAAGTTTTGGTGCATTTTCGCTGACTCAAATTTAGGTTTTTCCGGTTTGATTTCGTATTTCCCCCAAATTTTGAGTGTACATTTGGTATTTCCAGTAATTCCCATATTTGGTCTAATCATTTCAGATCTGTCAGATTATGTTCTACTTTCATATGATCATGTAATTTGACTTATTTCTTTCTAAGTAATCCATGGAGAATTCTGCAATTTAGATTTGAATATAAAGTTGTCAACTTTAAGTTTGTGGCTAGCAACAAAGAGAGAAAGTTGTCAACTTTGAGTTTGTTTAGGTTAGTTATTGAATTGCCTAGTTTCTCTGTTCAATGTTTAGAGTTGATCAAACCACGTGGAACATGCTTCTGTTATAATCAGTATTTGCTAATATGTTTCAACTTGTGGTAGGTTGTGAAGCAGTAGAAATCTAATCACTAGATGCATAATTGGAGTGGAAATCATTCTCTGCACTCATCGGACTCTCTGCTCACTTGTACATAAAGCACTGGTTTTTGTGGGGAAGAAGTTAAACGGGAGAGAAATGGAGACAGCCAAAGCTTGGCTTAATAAGTTAAAATCTAAAGACAAGGTGAAATCATCAAAAAAGAAGGAAACTACAAGCAATGTAAAGGAAGCACCGAAAACACCAGGAGGCGAAGAAGCGCTTTCAAATGTAACAAAGGAGAAAGCTGCTGCTGCAAAACTGTATATTGAAAATCATTACAAAATGCAAATGCAGAGTCTGCAGGAAAGAAAAGAGCGGTATGGTTTCATTATCCATTTTGTCACGCTGGGAAATTTTCAGTTGTGCCTGTTTCTTGTTTTTGATATTTGTGTTTTATGCAGACGCAAAATGCTAGAAAAAAAATTAGCTGCTGCAGAAGTCTCTGAGGAAGAGCAAAACAACTTGTTAAAAGATTTGGAGTTGAAGGAAACTGAATACATGCGCCGTCAGAGGCATAAAATGGGAGCTGATGACTTCGAGCCATTGACAATGATTGGGAAGGGTGCATTCGGAGAGGTATCATATCTTTTATAAGTCATAATTTTTTTTCTAGGCTTTCATTGGCATGCATCTACAGTCATCGTCATGAAAATTCTCTGTGATGCTTGTATGATTTGTACCAGCTGAGAATATATATTGAGTTTTCTTGAACCTAACACTTTTAAATATCTAAAGTATGGATCATACAATCAGTTCAAATGGACTTTGCGCTTAATGCTCCAGCTGTTGATTCTTGTATGTGAATTGTAAATCTTGAGGCTTTTAGAACCGTCGTCTAATAAGTTATCCTCCTCCATGTTTTTTTTGTTTTGTGTTTTTTCTCTCTTTTTGCAGGTTAGGATCTGTAGGGAGAAGGGAACAGGCAATGTCTACGCAATGAAGAAGCTAAAAAAATCTGAGATGCTTCGCAGAGGACAGGTATTTAGATTCCTCAAGCCGCTTTCGATTGACATTTATTATAATTGGTTGATGTGTTTGCGGGATCTGATTTTCAGGTGGAACATGTAAAAGCAGAGAGAAATTTACTTGCAGAAGTTGACAGTAATTGCATTGTCAAACTGTATTGTTCTTTCCAAGATGACGAGTTTTTGTATCTCATAATGGAGTATCTACCTGGTGGGGATATGATGACTTTACTTATGAGGAAAGACACCCTTACTGAAGATGAGGCCAGGTTTTATATTGGGGAAACTGTCTTGGCTATTGAGTCCATTCATAAGCACAACTATATCCACAGGTCAGTGACGCAGGGCATATGACTTAGTTGTATCTCCCATGTCCGTTATTTTGTTCTAAACGTCATTTTTTTTCTTCTTCAATGTGATCCAGAGATATCAAGCCTGATAATCTTCTACTTGACAGAGAGGGTCACATGAAATTGTCAGATTTTGGATTATGTAAACCATTAGACTGTAGTAATCTTCAGGAAAAAGATTTCACAGTTGCAAGAAATGTTAGTGGGGCTTTACAAAGTGATGGTCGCCCTGTGGCAACAAGACGCACCCAACAGGAGCAACTGCTAAACTGGCAGAGAAATAGAAGGATGCTTGTAAGTTTCACATATGCATCATCTTTTTTCAGAGATGTCCACTTTTTCAAGAGTGAAATATTCTGTATGTTCCGTTCATCAAAGATGTTTTCTCTCCATTGAGATAAAGTGTTAGAATAACTTATAAAGTTAAGGTTATTTGTTTCAGGCTTATTCCACAGTTGGAACTCCTGACTATATTGCCCCAGAAGTTCTGCTGAAAAAAGGATACGGAATGGAATGTGATTGGTAGGTGTAGCCAACTGTTGGTTCCCTTTGGTTTCTTTAGTGAAAATAATTAATAAAGATGAATAATCTTGAGAGTACTCCTTTAGGTGGTCTCTTGGCGCCATTATGTATGAAATGCTTGTGGGGTTTCCGCCGTTTTATTCAGATGATCCGATGACAACTTGTAGGAAGGTGATTAATCCATTGCTTTTGTGTACCTTCCATTTGAATATCGGAGGCAGACTGGCAATCAAGTCTTTAATCCAATTTGTCTTGTTGTAGATCGTTGGTGATTCTAATGTGGAACATAACTTAATTTTTTCTCTTTTCATTGTGTTCTCCTTTATGCAGATAGTAAATTGGAGAAACTACTTGAAATTTCCAGAAGAGGTTAGACTATCACCAGAAGCCAAGGATCTTATTTGCAGGCTTTTATGCAATGTTGAACAAAGGCTTGGAACAAAAGGAGCAGATGAAATTAAGGTGTTGTGTGCTTTATTCTAATTTGAGATTCAAGTTCCCTTATCTAAGATTATGATGAGAAATCCTAAACACTTTGGCTGGTTTCTTTTAGGGTCACCCTTGGTTCAGAGGTACCGAGTGGGGAAAATTGTACCAAATGAAGGCTGCCTTTATTCCTAAAGTCAATGATGAGTTAGACACCCAAAATTTTGAGAAATTTGAAGAGGTAACATACTGAAACTATCAGCCCAGGATATATATATTGAAATATTCATGCAACCGATGATGTTTCATGGTGTATACACTGAAATATTGGTGCCACAGATGATATGTATGCTCCTGATAAAGAAAATAATGTATATTATTCTTTAATTCCTTCTGGAACAGACTGACAAGCAAGTCCCAAAATCGTCAAAGTCAGGTCCATGGAGAAAGGTATGACATAGGCTTTTGACTTTCTTCCATTATGTTACGAATCACGATTTATGTGCATCTTCAAATTCAGCCGCTTTCTTTTCTAGTAGATGAGTAACCATACGTCAAGATTTGTCTATAAGTGAGTTCCCGTGTGTGGTGATGATACGATGAACACAGCTTAAAAGTTTTACAGACAACAAAAAGCTCAGATTTTTAACATTTCTTCCAAGCGTTTCTACATTGGCCTTAAGATATATGTAACCATTTTCTTCTGAGTGCTGCCTGTCTTTGTACGAGATTCCAGTCAAACCCACATAAAAAAACGTGATTCACCTCATGAAACAAACTGAATCCAGTGAAGCTATAAATAATATATACCTTTTGTTGTCTTGTGCTTTAACATGAGTTTGGCTTTCTTGTATCTTCTCCAGATGCTCTCGTCCAAGGACATTAACTTTGTGGGTTATACTTACAAAAACGTTGAAATTGTGAATGATGACCAATTACCAGGGATAGGTATTTCACTTTACCTACTTCCTGTGTTTGAGATAGAAGCAACATATCTAGATTCCCTTGTGATTAACATTGCTTATCTCCTGCATTGATATTTGTGCAGCTGAGCTGAAGAAGAAGAGCAATAAGCCAAAGCGGCCGTCGATTAAATCCCTCTTTGGTAAATAATACATTTCCCTTTGAAGCAAGCAGCAGCATTACAATCCATGTTTGATTCTTTCTCCTAAAAAAACTGTGGAAATACATGAACAGAGGATGAATCATCTGATGGCCCAACAAAAACAACCCACCAGCAAGGAAGCTTCTTGAATCTGTTACCGACGCAGATGGAAGATCCAGAGAAAGAAGGTAGTAAGTCCAGCTCGTCCGGGTGAAGAGCCCCTGATCTGACATTGCACAGCCTGAATCAGCAGAGACGTTTCTTTATATAACTTGTGTGTGTTGATTTTCGTTGAAAGCCTTTGTTTATTACCTCCAAAAGAGTAGCAAACGGTGGAGTTCAACAAAGTACAGTCTCTCCTGTGGAAGCGAAGGCTTTCCCCTGAAGGAGTGAAAGATGATGGATTTGTTTAATTGTTTTCAACATAGGTTTATTTGATTGATGTCAACCAAGGAAACAAACAGAAAAAAAAAAGAAGGAAGTAAATATTCTTTTCGGAATTGGTTTGTTTATTTAATTTTTCACAGGGGTGAAGGAGAGCAGATTTGGTATTTTGTTTTTCAAGTATTTTTCTTTTGGTTGATCAAAAACTTTGTTGTACTACTACTCCTCAAAAGATGAAATCTTCACCCGCTAATATACTATGACTCAAGTCTGCTCTGTTCTTCTCTTGCTCTGCTTTTATTATCTTTCAAGAAACCTCAAGTGGGATTTGCTGAAAGCTCACACCTTTAGTCTTCATATCTATAAAGTCATTAACTTTCAAGAAAAATACTTAAGGCGCTAATCCACTTATAGATGGCTGATTAGTTCAAAGATGTTTTTTTTTTCTTTCATTTCCTGGTTGAACCGACGCCGTTTAGTAGTCAGGGATTTGCTTGAAGGAGGGTATAGTAGATCTTCTTCTTTCTTTCTCGCTTGCTTTTTTCGGCTGCGACAAACTCTGAAAAGATGCAGGTATCTTCTTACCATGTCTTCTCTAAAGTTGTTGCATTACTCTCTAATCTTTTCATCTCCGTATGTATCATGTTCGTTGGCTATTTATCTTTTTATTCGTTCACTGTTTTAGTATCGAAAAGCCCTTAAATTTGGGTTATTTTTGTGCAGGCAAGTGACAGGTTTAACATCAATTCTCAGCTTGAGCATCTTCAAGCTAAATATGTTGGAACTGGGCATGCTGATTTGAGCAGATTGTAAGTTTCTTTGAACTAAAGTTTCAATTTTTAATCTGCATTTCAATTTTTGATTCTTGGGTCCTAATTTGTGGAAATGTGGCAGTGAGTGGGCTGTGAACATTCAGCGTGATAGTTATGCTTCATACATTGGCCACTACCCAATGCTTTCATACTTTGCTATCGCAGAGAACGAGTCCATTGGTCGAGAACGCTACAACTTCATGCAGGTTTGCCCCTATTTCATTCCTCTAAGTGACAGATGCACAGTTCAAAATTTGGATTTTGATCCCTATGTTAAGTTGATTAGGAGTGTATTATATGGTTATCTTGCCTTATCATCATATTTTAGGCTATGGTCTCACTCAAACGTTTGGATTATTAATCGATGTTCAGTCAATAAGGAGTGTATCATATGGTCTATTGGCTTTGTCGTTATCTTGTTTACCTCTTTGCTTTTTTATTTTCAGATTCATTGATTTGTTGTATGGTTTTAGTTTTAGGATGCTCCAGTTCTGTAGTTACAAGTAAGTTAGAGAATCATTAGATTTATGGTCTCGCTCAAATGTTTTCATTTGTCGTTGTTTACTGAATTCTCAACTGAGTTCCTTTCACAAACAGTTGTGAGCTCGGTTGGCTTTCAGTTTAGTTCATGAAACTGGTCTCTTACAGGGTTGAATTGTGTGATAGCGATCTTTTATATACATGGTGTTCCTGAGGATTAATCGAAATGGAGTTAGCTTAATAATGGAGAAACGAAGACTAGTGATGAGTTACATAATAGACTCTACCATTATGAGTTTCTTTTTTGTATACCTATGTTAATTGATTTCATTAGGAAAGAAAAGAAATGTGGAAATAAGGCCAACTCTTTGGCACGGGAGTGGTAGAACCGCGCGTAAGAAAATTGTGGATGATAAGAACTCATATATTGTTGTTATTGAACCATTAGTTAATGTGCTAATGCCTTATGTTACAAAGAGAAAAATATCGATGACAGTGGTGCTCTCTGCTCATTGACATGGTTTCCACTTTTTGTATGTGACGATGTTATGGAATAACTTGAGATGTCTTATGATTTGCAGAAAATGCTATTACCGTGCGGCCTTCCTCCAGAAAGAGAAGACGATTAGGAAGGGCAGGAGGATTTGATTTTATCTTTCTACTTATTAGGAACTTTTCTGATGGAATGTTAGTTTGGATTCAGAGTGTTAAACTGTCAAAAATTTGTGCTGGTAGAGATTTTGTTTGATCTGAGTGTTTAAAATAGTTGTTACTTTGATGCAGCGATAAAGTTTCACCCTCCAGTTATCTTATCTTGAACAAGTGAGATGCTACGTGATTTGACTTGAACTTTTTTAGCACATATACGTAAAGACGAGAAGCAAAAGATTAAAACTTGGAACTGATAATAAAGAGACATCATAGTTGAAGATGTAATAAGCTTCAAATGATATTAAACTGTTTCTTTTAGTAGAGACTATACATCGATTCGAAGATGTAAAGCTATATATATTACAGGACAAGAGTCAAGTGAATGTTTTTCTTATTTCTCTGTATTCTTTATCAGGGAAAATCTTTCATTGGATCCTCATGGTGAACTCTCTTCACTCTGTAAGCTTCCATCTCTTCCTGAGTCACCTCATTGTTGTATTTGACATTGTATTTACGTTTCCTCTCATCTTTTTCTTCCTTCTCACGCTCATCCTCCTTCTTAAGAGCATTAGCAAGCTCCTCCTTGTTCAATACCAAATTTTCAGGAATATCAGTTCCCATGTGGCCATTCTCTTCTCTTCAACCTTCTTTGGTCTCTCTTCAGAGGCTTCTTTGCGAGCGAGATTAGCCTTCATAAGATCAAGAGCAGACTCTGCAGCTTCAATACCAGCAGAGCCTGTGCAGTAACTGTTGCGAATGGTCTGCTGGCAACATTTATATCCCCATTGATGATCTTTCCACCATGATCCCCAAACACTAGTGTGATTGTTAACGTAAACGTCTTCTTCGTATTTGCTCTTTGGCACTATCACTAACTCATGTCCCTTTATAATCCTCCCTGCTCTATCATACTCAACTTGTCTTTCGCTTTGTCCAAGCAAAAGCTCCATAGGAATCTCACCTTTTGTTGAAGCGTCACCATATTGTCTGAGATTTCAGTCTTTCCTTTGCAGCCTTGAAATTCTTGTAGAGCAACTCAGCTTGTGATGGAGCTGCTTGCATAACACTGTTTCGATAATGATTATCTCCCTGGTAAAATTTCTCGTTCGGATCTGCATTCGGAAGCGGATCTTCACGCATGGATCTAGTTTTAGGATCATAATGAGCAGAGTTGAGATCAAGATTCAGCAGATACTTGGCTGTGTCTTCCCTGATACGTAGATTCCTCACAGTTCCTGTGCTACCACCACCAGTTGTTCTAACACGCTTTTCAACCTTTGCAAAATCCATCTGCTTACTCTCATCAACCTTGGCTTCATCGACCTTCAAGCCATCGTCATCGTCCTCATCATTGGTTTCATCATTGTTGTTCTTCTTCTTCTCTTCTAGTTTCTTAATCTGTTGCTCCTTGAGATACTTCTTTCTTGCATCCTCTCTTGCTTCATAAAACTCAACTACACGATGGTACTCTGAAGGATCATAGCCATTCCACCTGTCTCTTTTTGCATCGTAGCTAAGTTTAAGACTCTCGACTTTCTCATCTGCTCGTATGTTCTTGTTTGTGAATCTTGCACCAACTTTACGAGGTCTCTCTGGACATGATTTCGCATCATGCGTCATTGCACCACAGTTTTGACACGACCCTTTACGGTATGTTTCTGCTTGGAAGATCTTTGCACCTTTGTCATACCATATCTTGGAGTTAGTGTCATTAGGATCAGTCTTTTTCTTCTTCCAATTCTTTTGATGTTTTAAACTCGGTTTTCAGAGTTGAGATACCATGGAGCAGAGGACATATACTGAGGAATGTGAGGATTGATTTCTTTTCCATCTTCATCTACCTCGGCTGGAGCAAGCCCGGCTTTACGAGCTTCCTCTAATTCGATTTTCTTCTTATGATATTTCCTAGACTTAAAAGCAACTGAAGACGTAGCCATGATTCGATGGTATAAAAGAAGAAGAAGAAGAAAGAGCTTGTGAACAAATTGATATGTCAAAAAGAAAGATCGATCGAGAGAGTACTGGATGAGTTTGTTATACTTGAGAAACAAAATAGAACTCTACATCTCTTTATATAATGCTTTACTTTACGATGCCTAATCCTTGTCTCCTAAGGATTTTATTATGTTTCTTTCCTTTTTCCATATTATCCTTTTCAGTATATTTATGTAGGTACTGTAAAATTATAAACGAATTATTTAATTGTTTTATTAAGAGTCGTATGAATATGTAAAATTAGAATCGAATCATGACCTAAAGTGGTTAGGGTAACGGATCGATACTTTTCTCCCTCTAAAAATCTAGTTAGAGAAAACTCTCTCAAAACTCTTCATCGTTTTCTTTTTGGCCAGTGACCGGTGTTTTCCGACGCCGGCACTGTGCTGTTAATATTTTTCGGATAATAAATTCTGGTGAATCCAGATTTCTTATATCTATATTTTATTTGTTTTTCGTTCTCCGACTAAGTTCGGTTTTTCTTTTCCGACTATGGTCAGATTTCCTTTTTCAACTAAGATCGGATGTTTCATGCACGTTTCTCTTCCGCATATGAATTCCTCTTAAAATTGAGGTGGTTGTGAATGAATCTGGTGGTTTGCTTTGAGATTTCTTCTTCAGCTTTGGGTTTTATCCTCTCTTGACTGAGAGATTAAGATCTCTCTAATTACTTTTTTAAAAGCCCGATTGTGGCGTTGGGTAAAGAGTCTTGAGTTAAAGATAACGATTGTGATTTTGATTGGAGAAGAAAGTTCTGGCTAAATTTCAATCAGATTCTAATCGGAAGAGTCACTAAAGGAAAGAGAAGATGCAGAGATGTTTCTAATGAAGCTTTCAAGCGGTGGAGATGCGTTGATGATTGGCGGTGAGACCGTCGGTAAGAAAACCACCGTCGGCGGAGTTTACTACGGCGATGCAACATTTTTTCTCCTCAGATGCCACATGTCCCTGTATTTTCTTTAGATCAACACGTGTTTTTTACGTGTAATTTTCTTTGTGTTGATCCAGATTGTAATGGGCTTGATGTGGGTTTTAAAACTCTTTGTATACTTGCCTTTTCTTGGGCTTTCCAGTAATGGATAAGTTGACAAAAAAAAGGGTAACAAATGAACGAAAACTGATTAGTCATGGACTCATTGGCTATAGGGTTCAATAAAATTAGGGATTTGATTGATCAAGAATACAAATCTGTTATTTGTTTGTTTAATATGTTTAATGAACAATGGTTGTGCATTCTCTTTGCTTGTCATCGAGAGAAAACAAAACCCGCCATATCTACATGGTGGTGCTCTAATTAGTGGACAATGGGTAGAGACAAGACAATGCTTCTTGATGTTACACATGAGTATATATGTTAAAGACATAGTGTTCATTAGAAAGAAAGGATATAAAATGTTTTAGTCAATGACTAGAAAGGTTACTTGAAAGTCAAGTAACCGTAGAAAATAAATGTGTTGTATGAATTTGTAAAATCATATATATGAAAAGAGGTGAACCTTCTCCCACAGTTCGCCACATTAGCACTCCAGAAGCCAACAAGTATCCTTTTTAAAAATAAATTTAATAGCATTTATTCCAATTTTCATTTTATTAAGTGTAAATTTCATCTAAGAAATTGCATCAGTCTTTTTTTAAGAAACATCTACATTTTCATTCATATTTTTCATTTTCTTTGTCTTTTCAATTTTTTCATCTGAGAAAATATATAAATTTAGGTTTTAAACATGCTGTTTTCAATTTTTTAGTTTCGATGTTCTGCTAGAAAAATTCAGTATTAATAAAAAGAAAAAACAAATTAAATTTAATTTTATGATCGTTAAGTCGGTTTGAAGAGGTTGCGAAAAACCTGCAGAATCCTGTTTAAAAACACAATTCCATTATTCCGCAGAATATCTCTAAGCTCACCAAAGCCTAAATCTTAATTATATGTTTTCAAGCAATTCAACCCAAAAATATGGCTTTTATCTATGTTTTTTTATTCATATCATGTTTATAATTTCAAAAATGGTAGAATAATTTTCCTACTTGCCCTACTTCCAATCCTAAAAAAACATTATTTATTTAATAAAGATTTTGTTTTTAAAAAAACTATTACCAAACAATCAAAGCAAATTATCATATTCTTATAATTGATTATGTATATATATATATACCAATATAAATATATTTATTAAAATATTATGCCAAAAAAACCCTCGCGTAGCCTAGTTATATATGAATAGCCAAGTTTCGTTAGCTCGACTGATAAATAGGCCTTAGACAAAGTCTAAAACTCACAAGATCGAATGACGCTTGAGATGTAACTAATATTATATGTTTGGTTTTGGGTTTGGAGGGATTACGGATTTTGGTCCTAGTAATTAAAAAATATATATAGATGAATAAACCTAAAAGATACGGCATGGTTAATCATATAAGAAGTGAACGAATTAATGAAAGCTAATTAGTTATGGCTATAAAGTTAAATAAAATTAGGGGTTTGTTTGATCAAGACTACAAATCTGTTATTTGTGAATCAAGTAAAAAGCTACAAACCTCGAGCTCTCATATGTATTGTTAGAGGTGTAATCAGCACATCTGGTTTAACTCGGCATAAATCAAAACCAGCCCAATTAATTTCGCTTAACAATGGTTCATCTCATGATAAGTTGTGCCGGACCGATCTAACTTATCGGTAATTAGGTCCAACATGCATATAGCGCCGACCTCTTAAATCTCCTAAGGAAAATATCCCTTTTTCTAAACTAGAAAGGAAATTGTCTAAATCTAACCAACTTGTAATCAGGAATGGATTCCTCACAATCAATCCACAAGCAAATTCTTGAGAACACTAGAGAACTCAGAGCAAATAACCTAGTTTTTTAGCCTCCTCATTGTAATTTGATTCTAAACATCACTAATAAAACGCTTCCGAGCTACTTAATCTTTTGTGTGATTTCCATAGTCAACAATTGATACCGTCTGAGGGGATCAAACTCAAGAAAAGCTTCAAAAACAAAAGATCCATCTCAAATTATGACGACCGATGGCAACAACCAATTCTTGATGATCCCACCAATCAAACTCAACACACCACGAACTAACCGAGGGACTGCACGGGACTGACACCAACACGTCAACCCCCGCGTGATGAGGAAGGGCAATAGACCATAGCTCAGCAACCCCA